GTGGGATTTTATTAGGCATCTCCAGGCAATATACGCGCTATCTTGAAAAGAATGCCTTTGTATGAAAATATTTTGTGATTTTTGATATTGTATTATCAAAACAAGTGATGTAGGGCATCTAAAGATCGGCATTGCTCGATTATAATATTCTTATCTGTTTTAAGCTTAATATCTATTTCTTAAAGATTTTGATGTGTGCCTAATATTTGCATAATACTATGGAGGAAGACATGAAATGCAAGCAAATTTGAATGAAGTTTATCTGAACTTTAAGTAACGGCTGATCTTAGGATTAATAGAGATAGAAATTGCAATTGGAAATTACAAAAATCTACTATGGAGACGATTTCGGAAAAGTGTACTTTTACTGAGCTGCAAAATTAATAAAAGACACTGTAGTTGTCTTGCATTTCAATTGCGTTTCACTTCATCAAACAAGTAAGAATATTATAGTCGGACACGGCCGCCCATTAAAAACCTTAAACCAGATTGTCTAACGCAACTCTTATTTTTATTCTTGAGGACAAAAATTATATCTTGTTACTATATAAAGGCAAACATTTCAAGTGCGTATTTACGGGAAAGTGGGGCCAAAACGCATCCTAATGTAGTACAAGATTAATTCTTACTGTGGAATCAAAAAAATAGCCCGAGAAAGTTCAAATTTGGTGCATTTAATTTCTTTGTGTTGAATTACTATTATGATATAATTTTCATTGTGAGGCATTGAAAATTGGACTTTTTTGTCGTATGAACTTCAGTTTTCGTCATAGGAGAGGAAGTTCAAAAATTATCCCAGCCTGTCCAAAGCTTCCATACCAATTTAGAATTCCCAAATATTACTACTTAGCCACTTTTGCTAAGAAAATTTGGAAATTGCAATCTTTTTTTCCATATAACGACTTTTCAGAATAGAGCGTTAAGCTGAATAGCGTTTTTCCTTGGGCCAAATTCCTTCACTGTACCAAATTTCATCGAAATATCTCAAAAATTGCGACCTCTAGCTTGGACACAAATTTACATGGACAGACTTCAGACGGACAGACAGACAGACAGACAGACTTAGATCAATTCAGATTATGGTTCTTAATCGATCTATATAATAAAAGGTAAGTCTATCTTAAGCTCTTCTGCGTGTCATATACGAACGCACTAACTTAATATACCCTGGACCACAATTGGTGTAGGGTAGAAAAATGCTAAGATGCGTTCTTACATTTAACTCTTACTGAAATTATGAATTAATCAATAAAATTTGGAGAATAAAAACAACTAAAGCCAAAGTGGAAGGATTCATATTCATGCTAGTCTTGATGTGAAATCGACAAAGCAAATTGTTTTGGTTATGTAATTACAACATACCAACTACTTTAAGTTCGATAAAAATTGACTGTGTTGGATATATAGATAGCTGACACTCGTATAGGCCCCGATCTTCTTCACGGACTGATTTTATTCGCAGAGACCAATGTCCCATGTGTCGAGTATGCTCTACAAGAAAGCGTTTATCACTGCTGTGCGTCGAAAGACCAACAGTCAACAGCTGAAAATCTCTTCTTCTTATCCAAGAGACCTGCAAAGAATGAACAAACACACAAATTATATTCTTTTCTTAATTAAAGAAAATGAAAAACACTTTACATACCGTTGCTGGTGAATTTAATTTGACAACACAAGGTAAAACGGCTAAGCCACCTTTTTGAGCAATAATGCGAGAATTATTTTTAGTGGCAAATTGAGATCTACCATTACTAAATAGATTCTGAGGCGATGAATTTTTACCCATATCTGCAAAAAAAAAAAATAAAAAATAAATTTCAATTTTATTTATAATAATTAACAAATAACTCGGAATTGCTATTGAAATTGTATTTTTATACCAATCACCGACAGATGAGTGGTATATTCATTTTGTCAAAACGTTTGCACCAACCACCACACAGGAAGCTTTAGTGATCCTATAGTGCATACAAACATATTTTCTTGGCCAAAATCAAATTCTAAAGCAATTTAAGCATGTCCCTCTGTCCATCTCTCTGTCGGTCTTTGGATCGCAAAAATTAAGTATCGGCTTCAAACTCGGCAGAAACGCTGGAAATGCTGGAAATGCAGGCAGGTTGGTCTTGAAAACGCGATGAATCGGTCAAAGGATACAACTACAGTACAACAACAACATAATCTGAGACCAGCTGTGCTTCCACAAATGTAAGACAATTTCGTCTTTTGGTCGTTGCTTATAAATCGCTGTTGCGATACAACGACAAAAATTTGCACTACATGTACTTTACGGATGATTCTGCAGCACTTGTACAAAAATGGAAAAAAGCGGCCACGCCTGCACGACGTTACAGTTCATTAAATTTTTATTATTTTCACTTTTTTGAAATTTTCTGCGAAGCTAGAGAGAATGTTGAAAATTATTCTGTACAGTTCTCGAATGAATATATATTTTCTCCCTACCCTTTAATTCTCCCACAAAGTGGGAAATTCGTTTTTTCTTAATATTATAATCAATAGGGCGTGAAACAAAAGGGCTTGGAGAGTAGAATGGCCAAAGCTAAGTGTGTTAATTTCAAATTAAATATCGGGAACGTCACGACAACGTACAACGGATGGGTATAAAAGAATCGGTCCCGGCCGAGTAAAATTTTTTTTGGGTGTTGAGCTTAAGTTGACTAAGTCAATACAAAGCGTGGCTTCTATGCCCAGATTATAGCTTATGATGTAGTACATAGTAAAGGTGTAGATGCATGCAGTGATGTAAGAATAAGTTTGCAAGCCTTGGCTGAAGATAAGATTATATTAGAGATAAATTTAACTAAAAGTAATGATAATCAATAGTAAAAAGTAATCATAAGTTGGAACGACGAGTTCACTTTTCTAACAGAGCAAGTTAGTTCCCCGAGGTGAGCATAATTACTTTTGCTTTAAAGAGATCCAAGAGAACTTCGTATAAACTGAAAAGGGTTGAAAGCTTTTTAATGTTATGAAACTTGTGATATCTAAAGATGGGATATTCAGCAGATTTTCTAGTCTTACAAACTTCATAAATATTATTTGATGAGATGCGAACCATTTCTAAATGTACTTCACCATAAAAATGCCCACTGGTGAGTTTGTTAAGTATTTTGATCTGCCAGGAATTAAAGTTTTTTTCCTGTTAGGGGTTAGAACTACAAAGTAGGATATGTTTTATACAAAAAGCGATTAGTTATGGCATACGTAAGGTTTCGAATTATTTTTATCGCCTCATTAGGAGTATATTTTACGGATGAAATTGAGCTCTTTTTACACGAAACTCAGCCTTTTCTTTTAAAAGCAATAAACAAGTCGGACAAGGTCGACCATCAGATATTCTACATCAATTTGCTTAGTACAATTAATTATTCACTCGTTTTTATTTTGAACCAAAGGCATGTGTTTCATGCAAGCTCGCACATCGAAGGATGCCCAACACATCATATGACTTGATCCAAATTTGATTTACTTCCTAACAATTTTGTTGTTTCTCTGTTTCAATCATAAAATGTAGAAATTAGACTTTCTCTCCATTTACGGGCTTGCTTTTTCTAATAACCTCTATATGTGTTAGGGTGTAGAAAAGTAGCTTATGCGATCCAAATTCAATCAATCCAATCTTCATCTTAAGACAAAGTTTATGAAATGATGAATCTGGTTCAAAGTTGGTCCACTTCATTTTTACGTCAAATTGCTATCATGAACAAATTTTCATCACAAAGTATTTACAATTAAGCCTTTTTCACATATAAGGGGTTTCCTGACAATCCTTAAATGCGATTGTATGCAAAAAACAGAACCTACTTACCCACTCCAAATTCAGTAAAGTTACTTTCTATGACCATTTGCTAGTGTAAACCACTTTTCACCACGAACTATTAAAAATTACACGTTATATAATGGGGTTCAAAAATATGAACCATCCAATCCAAAGTTTTCTCATCAATTTAGAATTCCGATATCGTGTTATTTAACAATTTTTCTTGCGGAATTCACAAAAGTACATCACTTTTTCTTACTTTGAGAAATTGTCGAAAAGGTGGACTGTAAGTGTAAATGGAGTCTGAGTATTAGTTTTCATCAAAATATCTCAAAAATTGGCGATCTGTAAGTTGAATAAAAAAATTCATGGACAGACAGACTGACTGACGGACAGGCAAACAGCCGGACGGACGGACAGACAATCGGTATAATGAAAGCTGGGTCTATCTTAGCCGCTTTCGAATGTTATATATGTCCGCCCAAGTGGCGTAGAGTACAAAAAAAGTACAGGCATACTAAGTCATCAAGCCTATCCCTCTTATTAATTAAAAGCGAAAGTGATTTGTTCAAATCTGAAAAGACGAAAAATTTTCTATGATCATCCATTACAATCGCCTTTAGACAAGCAGTTTAATGAACATGAAGCGAACTTCCTTCAACAGCCGGATTTTATACAATGTTTCCGATAAATGTTTCACTCCTGACCAGCTGGACACATTAGGTGCGACGATCGATCCATCAATGGAATATGTATCGTAGACATTCTTGTAATAAAGGACACGTTTTTCTTGGCATAAATGAAATTATGCGCAGTACATAGCTTTTCCTTTAACAAGTTCTAGAAATATTCTTTAAAAAATGTGAACTTATCAGATGACTTTTCAAATGACAACAACAAAACAACAACAACAAAATTCCTATATAAGAGAGAAATGCATTTTTTTCGTTTTGACAGTGACTCGCCGCCGAGAGATGAAGTCCGACAATTGTTATTGTAATAACTTGATGCAGTAACGTATGTATTTTTATTCTTTCCTTTCATGTTGTCTTTTCTCATTCTTCTTGAAGACTTAAAGTTTTGTATGAAAAGTTGTTAAGACTTCATATGTAATGGGTTTGCTCTTTTAAAAATCGGATTTAGAGAAGTTTTTATTTATTTACATTATTTTTGTTTGTTTTTTCTTGCAAGTTCCTATTTAAGACTCGATGCTGAAATGTATGCAATAAGCTTTTAAAAGAATTCTCTGTGATTATCATCTTGCAATTTACTTTTCTTATTCAAAGTATATAATTATTTAATTTTACTTTAGGCAAAAAAGGCAACGTTTACATATTTTTTTTTTTTTTTTTTTTTTTTTTTTTTTTTGCATTCCACTCTACCTTATAAAGCAAAAAGAACAGTTTTTTAGAATTAAATTAAAATAGAAAAAAAAATAAATAAAAAAATGCATTGAATTGCAATTGAGTTAAGACGAATTAAATAAGGAATTTACAGTTCTTTAACAATTTATAAAACAAAAAAAAACTATTTCAAAAGAAACAAGTAAGAAAATTATATTCGGTCGTGTCCGAATCTTTTACATCCATCATCGTTCTCGTAAGAAAGGCAGAAGAGTGAGTAAAAGAACAAAGTTTACATGCTCTATAATATGGAGTGGGCGCAGCACATTACTCCTATTTTCAAAATAAGAGTTTTTGTCATATAGGCATATGGGCGTTGTAGGCCCTTTGTCCTTTGAAAAACTAAGCTAACCTTATGAGATTAGAAGTCAAACCCTCACTCCCGCATGAAAAACTTTTCCAATCCTGGCCAATGTTTCGCAGATGAATTCCTTTAAAAGTTTGACATATTCAGAGCTACGATGTTCGCAGGCAATAATCTCTCTTTTCTTAAAAATAAAGGACTTCATCCTGTCATTTAACATATGCTTATAAAATACAATATAAGGTTCAATTCTTGACTTTGACATATAGCGCGTATCCTTATGCACTTAGTAATCGATCTTTGATTCATTAAAGCGATAATCTTCCAATCGCCACAAACGACTGATATCGTCATCATTATTTGGAAGAATGTTCTTCCAAAATTTGATACAATCTAACAAAACATGCTTGGGATTGAGACGCTAGTAGACGGTACCATTTTATTGTCCAGCAATCAATTATAAAGACTCCTAGTGCATGAGCCTTCCTACTCTAAGACACATGGCTTGTATATGTACACACATGCACGCTGTATCGTGTAATATCGAAATTCTTCTTCTTTTAGTAACCATCATCGAAAAACGATTGTTAAAATGCTTACAGCGTCCATAGGAATGTATCAGAGACTGCATAAAACTCATACATACTTGATCGGTATTAAATTTTGAATCGATTTAAGCTTCGATCCGCTTCATGTCGAAAATGAATATATCAGTATGAAAATTGACAAAGGAATTACTGCAGGCAGACTGGTATTGCAAATGAGTTAAATTGACCGAAGACAGAGGTGATATCAGGACATAAACTGAGATCATCTCTCTTCTCAAGAGCAAAGAAAATTTGCTTTTTTTCCCGTTACTCACAAACTATAACCGATATAGTAATCAAAATTTTCACACTGAATCTACGCTATCTGTAGCAAAATGGAACAGATCAACTTTGTCCACTGGAACAGATCAACTTTAGCAATAGAAATGTATTTATTCTTTTATTTTTGTTTTTCCTTCAGGAAGACGATGATGGATATAAAAGACTCGTCTGCAGCTTGTGGTATGTGTTTTAATGATCTTATTAGTAATGTACGTGAGACAGTTTACAAACATTTCTGATGCTGTTTCAGTGTATACAACGTTGATTTCAGAGAATTAGCAGAGACTTTACGTGAAGTTTGTCTTAAGAGAGCCGTTGGCCTTTGAGGAAAACACTCAAAGGATAAGGTTGCCCAAATGTATATAAGATAAAGACGAAACTAGGGAATGAATTCAAAGCAATGCCCATACGATCACAGCTACACACACACACACACACACACACACACACACACACACACACACACGCAAGACGACACAAGAAGATTTTCTTTGAATATCTCTGAAATTTCTAATTGCGTTGAAAAAATTATAGACCAATAGGCCAACATGATACTCCGAAATGCAATTCATCGCTATTTACCAAAACCGAAACCTACCTCGACATGCTTCCGGAATAAGCTGAAAGGGTACGCTAGGATATCATTTCTTTCAAACCAAGAAATTAAGAGTTTTTCAGACGACACAAAAACCCCTTTTGCGAAATTATTCTGACGGCTCAAGACAGGGTTGGCCCATAAGTAATGATTCATTTCAAAATTTGAAACAAGCTTTGCAGTTGATATTCCTTAATTCGTTATAAAATCTTCAAAGAGCAGTTTGCTAATTTGCCGGCAAATTTCTAATATCCGCCTTATAGAAATGCAGGGAAGACCCAATCCGCCTACTTATATTTTCTACAAAACTGAATCTTTTATTTCGTAAGTAATGCTGCAGTGATCTGAAGAGTTGGTGTTCAGAGGGAGTAAGGAGAGGGAGTAGGAGGGGGGTGCGAAAAAGCTTTCCATTACAAGTCTTTGATTTCTTTCTCAGTGAGCTTTGCTATACAGTGCCGAGTGTGATCAATTTCCCGTATTACACCTTTTCTATGGACTAAACTTGTTCTCTTTTTCGATAGCTCTGATTGCAACTCAGTGCCAAATGCTTTTCTAGCATTTTCTTTAACAACTCAAACTCTGCACAATAGCGCTTTTCCAAGTGATAGGATAGGTTCAGACATTGATATTATAGTGTGATTTGCATGAACCGATTGCTTGGAATACTTTATGTGATCATGAAGAATCCATTTTTTTCATCTGCGGTAACGATTCTGCTATGAAAACGATCTCTACGAAATCTGGATAACAATAAAGTGCATAAGTGATTGACATTGATCTCAGATTCATATTTCTTGCCTTTACCGGAAATACTTGTGTGATTTCTATGATTTCTTGAACAAATCGTACTTATTCCCTCAAAACTATAATTCAATTTCTAAACCAGGCAATAATCACCTGACAAGGTATTATAAAAGTTTTGCAACTTATTGTTTCTACCATAAGCCTCGACTCATTTTCTGATTTTCTTGCAAACGGATAACTTTGCTATCTAAGAAAAAAAATCGTAAAACAACGAAGAAAAAGTGTAAAAATTCTCGGAGTTCATTGATCAATAAATGGCGGGACAAAATAAGAAAAGCATTTACATTTCCGAAATTCGTCTTTATTTATCAATGTAACCTCGTTCAACAGGGATGCAATCAATCCAAGGCTATTCTAATAGTTCGATAAATTTCCTATAGGACGATTTGTGAAAATGCGCTTTAACTATCATAATGATCTGTCTATCATTAAAGGCGGATCTTTTTCGCTAGACGAAAACATTGACTTTAGACCAGCTTTGGAGAGTACAATGAATATGTCAGCAATCCGAAATGAGATATTCTGAATGCAGCCATTAGCTTGTGAGGAGCTATTTTTATTCCACTGTCAGTAAACGTTTCGATACAGTTTTCTCATGGCTAAAAGCAAAGCATACGGGAAGTAAGATCTTTCCATAACGACGTGACATGTTAATGGGCATCATTCGAAATGCGCAAGAGTTGATGATGTATGAGTATGTGTCATTCAGTCCCGGAATTTATTGATCAATGTTATAAATACCTTCTCTTTGCGGTTAGCAGTTTTTTTTTTTTTTTTTTTTTTAAAGCTCCCAACACATTATCTGTCAGCACTTAATTGTTTTTACCTTTTAAACTAATATATTATATACGTCCTTATCACCTCCCCCGCCTTCAATACATAATCCAATACTTTACTTATTACTTAGTTCTATATGCGCGCATACACATGTAAACAAAAACTGAAATACTGAGCAGAGTTACGTCTTAGTTTATCACTTTAAGCAATAAAACCGTTTATATAATTATGTGTAATGTGTAGTAATGCAAGAATAAGTTGAAATGTAAATGAGAAGAAATAATGCAATATTCACATTAAAACTCTTACCCGAATATGTTCCGATACACACAATTACAATTATAAGAAACAATCCACGTAGTATCCGAATATGCGTTAAGACTGAATTCATTATTTAGTTTATACATATATATCCTTTAATATAACACTTCAAAAATAAGCGCCATTTATTACTTCAATGGAGGCTTTATCTGAAAATAGAAGGGGAATAAAGCGTTCTTAGCCATTACGACGTAGTTCAATTTACGCTAAAGCATTAATAGATATTTCATTTAACACATTTTTTTTATTCAATTATCCCAATCAGTGCAATGGAACGAAAACGTTTTGAGTTCACATGACATCAACACATGATTCTCGATGGGCAAAGTTTTAAGCTCTTTGGATGAGAACGAGCACAAGCAAGGTATATACATAGATTATAGTGGATTTCCGCAACACAATCTGTAAATACTTCACAACCCATTCTTCTCAATCTTTTCAAAAACCCTTTAATAATCAGGACCATCTTTAAGCTGAGGAAGCCTCATAATATGCTAACCAAATTTAAATATACATTCATCCTACGATCTTTAACCAAAAAAAATCCCTTAAAAAAAAAGGCAACAAAACAAATTAAATTTCTTTAATATTAAATGGGAGTGGCTGGTTTCTTACATTCTTTGTAAAATATATGCGTAATTTTTATCTCATGTATATTGTAGTTTATGAGATGTGGAACAGAAGAGATGCTCTTAGTGTATGTTGCACGTTGCACTAGGCGTGTCCTTCAAACGATTTCACCCATTTTGAATACCGACCTACGTGTAAGAAGCAAACAAACGGATTCTGAATTTAGGTTTGGCGAAGAGTACACATACTATTTATTGCATCTCTGAAGTCCCCTACTGGGCATTAAAAAACAATTCAATTTTAATCACTATAGCATTGCGTAGTGATTAGGAGTGGAGATAAAATGTAAAGAAAAATTTTTGTAGTAATTAGTAGAAATATGCTTTTTTTTTCCTTTTGCTTTGGATGTACTCTTCGATCAGCTTGGCCCGTTCTCTCACGAATCTGCGGGCAGGAAATGCCAACGTTTCTCCCCGATTCGAAGCCGCTAGATTCATTTTCACCGGGGAAGGTTTATCACAGACGCTAACCGACAGAGAGACGGACAAGCTTAAATCTATTCAAAATATACATTTTATGGAGTGTCAGGAGCTTGCCTTCGTTTTGATGAAATGAATATACGGTCTGGTCATTTGATGATTGTTATAATAAGTCTTATTGCATACCTTCCAAAGACTGCAGCGAACAATTTTTTTTAATACATTGATATGTCCATTGGAGACCTTCCATAAGTTCATATATCCTTTACTGATAATGCAGACGTGAAGAGATACCTTCAGGTAGTTGGCTGTCCACATTTTTCTATTAATATTAGAATCACGAACTAAAAAATCTTGTCGGTCTTTTTATTTTATTCTTGACAAATTGATATCGAATATCACGAAAAACGATTCAGCTAACGAAAGAATGCGTTAATTTATTTTCTTTCTTAAAATGTAGATTGGACGGAGAATTTTTCTTACGATACGATATACGAGTAATATATTCCCGCATTAATAAATCTAGTCCAGATTGAACACTACTTCCTTATTATTATACCCTTCACCGGAAGATAAAGTTATACTCATTTTGTCATAATGTTTGCAATCCAAACTAAAAGGATACTGTCGATATAGTTACTAAGCAGAAGGACTTGAAAAGTGGAATGCGAAAAAGTAAGTGTGTTAGTTTCAAATTAAATGCCTCGCACGTTTCGATAGTTAAGTCTCGACGTAATGGCATATTTTTTACATTACAATACCATCGATATGAGTATCAAATAAAAGGACTTGGAGAGTATAATGCGGCAAGGCAAGTATCTTAATTCCAAATTCATTAAGGTGGATGTCACGACGTGTTGGATTAATTTTCTTTTACCAATAAACATTATTCCATTCTTTTTTTTTAACCATAGACAAAAGCATAAGCCATCAAGGCTTGCGCGAGTGGGCACGAGAAGAATATAGTTTCCTTCCATGTTTTTAACTACTTCGAAGAAAGTGGTTTTCAAAGAGCATAGTTTCCAGAGTGTTCACTCTTAGACTAAAATACGGCTGGTGTGTCAAATTTTATCAAAATATCTCAAAAATTGAGACTTCTAGGATGAATATAAAACGGACAGAGGGACAGATCAGCTTAAATCGATTTGGAAAGTGATTTTGAATTGATTGCTATAATTAAAAGTGGGTCTAGCTCAAGCTAGCTCCTTCTAAATGTTGCGTACGTCGGCATAAACGTAACATATCTCAAACGGCGTAGGGTATAAAAACGGGAATTTGATTGGATTTTTGTTTTTCTTTACATTTGCATGTAATGTCAGTTGAAACAAGGGATTTATATTTACTTCCAAAGCATGAAGGCGCACCATATAGCCAAATAGCCCTCGTTGACTCGCGCGCCATCAAGACAATAACAGTACAAAATCTTACATACGCCGCTTAGCGTGTTAGCGGTTGGACACAAACCATATTTGAAAACATGGCGTCTTAGTGAATGGGCTCAAATCATATTTCGAAACAGTGGTAGTTCACGAATGTAGGAATACAAACATTCACTCTGAATTAACCAATAACTCCTCGAATGTCTTGTTAAAACATCTTTAGTAAGAAAAATGTACGAGAAGCCTGAAATCACGAGCAAAGATTCTTAGAACAAATTTGAAAATACATGAGATCCGAGCGCATAAATTAAAAAATATCTAATTTAGTTCTTATCGCATATGATGATAATCTAAATATCTAAAATAACAATGTCTTCAATCAACGAAATTCTTCACATTTTAGTGCGTTCGTTGTCGATTGGATCCAAAGCTTCTTGTTCCTCTTCGGCTTTCATAAAAATGTTTCATCGACGTCGAACATATTAATTTTAATAACGGTATTATTGATTAATGCAAAAGGCTGTCGATTGCGAGTACCCATAAGAGTATCACTCAATGTAATTTCGCAGAAATTAACAATGAATTCGTGAGAATAGTCCTATTCAGTTTAAAATAAGCTTTAAAAAGCTAAATGTAAAATTATGCATAATATTTTGCCAAAGACGTCGCCCACGGGAGTAAATCCTCCATCTTGCTTAGCTTATTATTCTATTGTTTGTTTTCATAACAGGTGAGAGGAAAGTGATAAGTTTTGTATAACCCAAACACGACGTTGCTTTAATGTTTTAAGGGTGAGCATTATTATCAGTTAGCCTTCAAAAAAAATATACTAACATTAATTATCATCTCACATTCCTAGTCAATCGTAAATTTAGCGGAACTAGCTAAAATTCCACATGCATGCATCAAGGTGTATGTGAATAGGTATATCCTTTTCTTTATATACAAATATATACATATACATATATATGCATATGTACATACATATATATTCATGTATTTGTATGCATTTTGTACATTTTTCGTAGAAACTCTCAGCGCATTTGAACTTACCCATATAAAGACAATAACAAATTCTTCAGAGTATTTTAGATTACATAAACAACGCAACGTTAAAGTATACTTTTAGTATGATTAAATCAACTTCATTATTTGTAACAGTAATTTCTTTTTAGAATTTTATGATATTCTCATTATATATAGATTTTCCCTTTATTTTTTTATTTTTTTTTTTTAATTAAAATTTCTTAATATTTAATTGACCGACCAGAATTTTAAAAGAATTTTTCTTTTGTGTAATTATTATTAATTCTTTTGTTATAGTCGTAAATTATTTTACACATAAAACCTTTCACAATATGATATATTAATAATTTAACTAAATTTGATTTTTTTTCAGGTGCTTTTTCTTTAATTTAAAATTCTATGGTCACAGCAATATAACGTAAATGCTTCGCTATATGTACTACAAAAATCGCAATCTAAAAAGGTTATAAACACTTGCGCAGTACACAAAAATTTGTATAACAATTTAAACGTCTCTGTTTTATTTTACATTTACTACATGTAATTTTACAACTAATGTAATAACATACGAGCAATGAATTTGCCGATTGTACGTAACCGATTTGAATCCAATTTTATCAAGTTTAAAAAGAATTTACTTGATCAAGCAGGAAAAATGTACTGATTTTTGGCATCTCCTAAGTTAGAGATGAAAACATTTACTGTTATCAAGATTTACTAAACTAACCTAATTAGAAAAAAACGAATTGTTGTAAATTTCAAATGGACTTAGGGGAAGCAGAAGGTTCGCAACAATGGATAATTAAATGTGAATACTATTATGGCAAGGTAAAGATGTAAAAGTGTTACTGAGCTATAGGTAACCAAAGTTTCGATCACTGACGTTGGTTAAATGGTCTTGAAGAAAATTTTCTTGACTGGAATAATATCAGTGTTTTTTATTTAAATTTAAAGTATCTGCGCTTTAGACGAAATCTATGTGGATTCCTTTATATAAACGTAGATCTATATAGATTTCAAGTTAATTCCGACAATCATCATCAACATTATCATCAGTTTTTTATTTTTGATCTGTCTAAAAAAATATTTTCATTTCTTAAAAAAGTATTTGTAAAAATGGAAAAATGAACAGGAGAGCGAAAAGAAAACGTTGAATTTGTTAGAAAAATATTAGTTTCATAAATTAAAAAAGTTAAAAACATTTTTCTTAAACGCTAATTTCATATTTATTAGATTATGTTTCAGTAAGTAATTATTTGTAGTTATTTTGTCATGTTCTACGCAAAGAAATCATATAGAATTCGAATTTTTAGCTTGGCTTCACTTTCGATTGGTTGTTTTCATCCAAATTTTTTTTTCCTTAATGCAAGTTTTACTCTATCTTCTTTTTATGGGTTTTTTTATATTTTCATTAAATCTTCATTTTTTCACAGTTCTTCCTTTTAGAATAAAGGGTTTTTTTTTGTTATCACTTGGCATGATAATATTTATCCGTAAATTAAAAACTTGGCTGCATTCGCTCAGTTCTAGGGACAATATTATATATATATAATTTTTACTTCTATTTCTATGCTTCGTTTGGTGAAATGCAAATATTAAATGAAAATTTTTATTGACGGCTGCAAGTTACGTGGCAAAATTGGGCAAAATGAATAGAGACTATGCGGGATTAATAATAATTACTTATGAAATATTATTATTACTATTATTTTAATTTTAGACTAATGAAATGAATTCTTAGACTAAAAAAAGACATTGAGCACTAGCAACACAGGCCATCGGCTCTACTTATGAAATAAAAAGTGAGCAAACAATAAAAAATATATATGCAGTACCCTACAATATTGAATTATCACAGTACATGTTTTATACATAAGTAACTACAAAATGTCAAAAATTGAAATTGTTAAGTATGGTAACATTGGCTGTCATTTGGTATTGTAAACAGAGAAAAATATGATTTTGTTTAAAAATAAGATATAATTGAACTAGAAAATAAAGTATGCTCCAAGTTTTATTAAGGAGGACATCAGGCAATTTGTCTTCCTTAAGCTGCACGTACCCCAAGCATTTTAAAGTAAGTAAAGATAAGAGATTTCGTTATATAAACTTCATTGAAGGTATACGTGCTTCTTTTTCTTATAGTATTATACAACCGGAGTAAAAAAGCTATTAGAAACAAGTGACGTTGAAAGCAATAACAAGAGCACAACTCAATATGGAACGGAATTGTATCCGAATAGCAAAACTACTAATGAACAGATAGCAAAACAATTAGAGGTAACCCGTCTCGTGTGGCATCCTAGTCCCAGTATGAAAAAAGATGAAGTGCTCGGCCATTATAAAAAGTTATCTAAGTTTAGACTAACCTGTAAGTGCGTGCTTTTTAAATCAAAGAAGGGTAAATGAGATCTGCGATTTTGTCTTTATTAAGCGCTTGTAGTCATAACTACAATGGCTGGTTATGCGATGGCTCCCGCGCCATTTGAAATAAGTACGTTTGTTATGTGCTCTCTTGGCACTGGACTTGTATCGGCCGCTGCGAATGCTATAAACCAATATCATGAGGTGCCCTTTGACTCTCAGATGTCACGTACGAAAAACAGAGTACTAGTCACCGGAAAATTAACTCCGCTTCATTCAATCGGTTTTGCCGTTACGTCCGCTGCATGCGGTATTGGTTTATTGCATTTTGGTGTAAATGATTTAGCAGCATTATTAAGCGCAGCAAATTTATTTCTTTACACATCGATCTACACTCCTATGAAACGGATGACGATTTTAAACACTTGGGTAGGCTCTGTGGTTGGTGCAATTCCACCTTTAATTGGTTGGGCTGGTTGTAGTGGAAGTTTGGACATTGGTGCTTATATACTAAGTGGGCTTTTATATGCCTGGCAATTTCCACATTTCAACGCATTATCTTGGAATCTACGACCGGATTATTCTCGAGCAGGATATCGGATGATGGCAGTAACTAATCCAGATTTGTGTCGACGAACTGCATTAAGATACACTTTTGCCATTGGCCTGTTATCCTTCTTGGCGCCCGTATTCGATATTACAAATATTTGGTTCGCCTTGGGATCATTACCTCTAAACGGCTATTTTTGCTATTTGGGTAAGTTATTGCGATTCATTTTTTTTTTTTTTTTTCAATTATATATTGAAGAATATAATATATAGACAGTAGAGTAACATGAAATGTTGTAAGTGATATATACATGCTATGTCAGGTCTATCCTTCCGTGTCTTGCATTTGTAGTGGCAGGTAGGCATACACAAAACCTCATCAGCACGCTTCTCTGAATGGATACAAAAAATTCAGCTAAAATGACCGCGCGTCTATAATTGTTTTATATATTCAGTGTACCTTATATAAGCTTTATGCAGCCCTCTGAAATAATGTGTAGTGGAAAGAAGTAGAAGGAGATGAGAAGTTGTATTCTTTCTTGGAGAACCCCTTACCTCAACTTCAGAATTGCAATCATTAATTATGGACGTATTATTACACCATTTAGATTACTTTTTCATTGAACTTGTAAGTTTAGTACGAAAAATATATGGAACATTTTTTAATTCGATATCATTTGCCGTAAGTTTCCGAGTTTATTGGGAATTGTTTGTTATCAATTAATTCCAAATTTCTATCAGCACTTTTGCTGCCGTGACCAGTATCAAGAACATGATGAGCGGACTAAGCCGAATTTTTACTTGTTGATAAGAGTAAACCCATCTACTTGGCCCGCAATCGATGCTTAAGTGTAAGCCTTTTAATCTCTAGAATTTATACTAATTTTAATTTCAAAACGCCGCTAAAACGGCTATAGGTCTTTTATGATGTTTCCTTCTTTTTTTGTGATACGAAGTAGATATGAACTAAATATTCGTTTTAGAGAAAGCTTTGAAAGCGGAATATTCTAAAACTAAATCTATATGACACTACTTAAAAGCAATTCTGCATTTTTCAGCCTATAAATTCTATCAACACTCCGATAGCGGATCGTCTCGGAAACTGTTCAGATATTCTTTAATACATTTACCTCTTCTGATGGCTATGTTTTTGTTATGCAAAACGCATTGGATATTTATGGAAAATGCTAACAAGGAAGAAACGTCTACGAATTATACCCAAAGTAAAAGCGACAAAATTGCAAATAACTTAAACAATTTAACATCGACTCTGCTAATTACTTCAAGAGATGACACAAATAAGCTCCTACCGCTAATTCCGTCAACCAAAGCAAATTAAAGCATATGTACATTACCTCTTAATTTATATTGTTATGTATAATTTTTGAAATGATATTTATGTTAAATACACTATGTAAGATGAAACAATGATAAATGATTTAATGATTTTAATTTTTTTTTTCAATGCCTTTGAAAGCAACAACAACAAGTTTCAAAAATCCCATAAAGTATATAAAGTTTTTTACAGGACGCGCCCACAAAAGCTTTTATTTTAATAGAAAAAATCAGTTGCGCCCACCCCATACTAGGGAGCATGAAAATATAGTTCTTTGTCTTCTTTTTTACCACTAAATATGTAGACTCAAAACAAATTTCTCCAATACAGTAAATAATTCACATCAGGGACCACTTCATATTCTTAATCAAATCATAACGAAACCGTTATATATGCCAACCCTTTCCTACAGGTACAGAATACACAAAACAGGGTTAATCGGCTATGGTGAGTGAGGCATTACGTCGTCTTTATTAAATTACGGCGTCTTATTAAATGTCTTATCCACATTTTTGGATGTTACGAAGAGGCTATCAAAATCAGCATGCCGTTATCCTTCAATGGTGAGAAGCTAAAAGAAAGTTTGGCAAAAATCTAATTTTTTCGTTTTACTTTATTGAAAGATTCGTTATTTCCAATAACAATTTATTTATTTATCTTCTGGTTTCGTGAACACGAAAGTTAAATTGCATTTTCCGCAATAATGCCGGTCTTCATGCGCGGCCATGAACACACCAGCACCGCAATTCTCACCAGGACATTCACGACGTAAACGATGAATTTTTCCATTTTCATCAACCTTAAAAAAATTTAAATATAATACTAAGTTTAATAATAATAATAGCAAACTAAAAATTATAAAACAAAAATAAAGTGGAAATGACCAAAACTAATAAAAGCAAATAAACGTAATTTGCTTAAAAACCTAATGATGTTATATACCAACAAAACGTCTTAGGCACGCCATGGTGTGTTGTGGAAACAGTTCTACTTTATATTTTCTGATCCTAAGTGCATTCACACACATTTCTGCCCATTTAATTTCACCTTCATATTTAGTCTTGGCATTTGTAATGAAAGGAACGCCTTCTCTGGTATTGAGTATATTAATGTTTCGGCAACGAACATTCTCCTGTTAAGCTTGACCTTATCTCAGCATTTGCTAGGAACATTCGATTTCTTATTGCTACAATTTTGAAGCCTTATAAATATTGCGTCTAAGCATAGTTTCGCGAGGAAAATAAAACAGAAATCTCTGATATTTTCTTTCAAATATACAAATGAAGTGATGTCCAATAGTAAAGATGGCGTTTTCAAGAAACTGTTCATTAAAATCCATGGATTACATTTACGTTTAATAAAGCTTTTAAAGTAAAAGAGAAATTAACGTGTTATGCTTTATTCCGAAAGGCAAGAACAATGTCGAACCACGTTGCCGATCAATTTATATCGTGATTCTATTCCGATCGGCATATGATTATTCAATAACTGCTTCTAGCCTGGGAAATTTATGACGACAAGCAAACTTAACTTACGCTGCGAGTCTACGAATTTCGCCATGGAGTTATGTGCAGACGCGCTGTTAGTAAGCTAGACAGTCTGAGGATGTGGCCATGATAAAATCATCAGTTTACTTTGCCCTTCAGTTCAACGAAGGATGACAATTTAAACCACAGCCACATTCGGCCGTTAATAGTTCTTAGGCCTGAGATTTTCATGAATTTACTCTTACGACTGCCAGCACACAAATGTACACATCGATAATAAAGAATCGTATGACATTAATTCCAGTCTTATGCATCATACACTAAAGTATTTCTCTTTTGTTCTCTCAGACAACGTTTTAGGATGATTAGCTCAAGATCAACAAGACTCAAGAATTCCACTTTCTTACTAATACACATGTGCATATTCATTTAGAAATGTACCTTATAGTATTTCAAGACAGCTAACTTGACCTTCTTCCTTTTGTGCTTCATTTTCTTCGGTGTGGAGTAATTCTTCTTCTTGCGTTTTTTTGCTCCACCTCGCAAACGCAACACAAGATGTAATGTGGATTCTTTTTGAATATTATAATCGGACAATGTGCGACCATCTTCCAATTGCTTTCCAGCGAAAATCAATCGTTGCTGGTCGGGTGGAATTCCCTCTTTGTCCTGAATCTTGGCTTTTACATTTTCGATAGTGTCCGAGGGTTCGACCTCAAGAGTGATGGTCTTGCCCGTTAGGGTTTTTACAAAAATCTGCATATTGCAACCGGCAGACCTGAAATAAAAAAGAACATAGGCTTATTGAGGTCAATTAAAAAGGAAATAAGAGTAAACTACAATTTAATAGATAAGTAAGAACGCAAATTTAAATTTAGAGCATTTCTAGTTATGACGGCTATTACTAATTTATTTTTGTTTTTTAAATACTAGACACATGAAAGTATTTGAACATTAAACAAGTAGCACGGCATTGATAACACCATCGTTTTCAGGATTATTCGTTACTTGAGCGTATTTTCCCCATACGACTTTACCGGTTTGAGTGACAAGACCCAAATCGGAAACATTCACTTCAATAACGGTGCCTTTGGTTATAACGCCAAGTGAGGTAAACATTGGCGAACTGGGGTTTTTCTTTACACCGATAATAGGCAAATAAAATGTAGCTTTAAGTTCGGGATGTGTGACATGTGCTTTTTTCATACGTAACGCCATTGGTCGTATGAACCGCTCAAATTTTGGCGGTTTACGAGTAAAATTTTCTCCCACAAATGTCACTTTTGTCACCATTCGTTTCCACGCTTTTCGCTTGGTTTTACCAGTCTTAAGAACTTTGAACACTTCGGCATCGGATTGAGCGCGAACTTTCGGTATAGGTACATCCCATTTTCCAGCTTTCTCTTTTCTTTTTTGTTTAAGCATATTTGAAAGAACTTTTGCATTAGATTGTACACCTCGATCCAAAAGATAATGCGGCAAAGCTCCATCTTCAACCTTTTCAGCTTGTTTTTTAACTTTCTTCTCTTCATGGGCTCGGATGTTTTTCTTTATTTGTATTTTCTCATTACGGCGCTCTTTGTTGAACAGTTTCGCCTTTATACCACGCAATTTTCTCGCCTTACGGGCACGCTCCTTTGGTAAACGTGCTTCCCTCTTGCGTTTACGTTCTTCATAATCAAGTCGCCTACCGTACAATTGTCGGTGTCGGTCCATGTATTCATTTTGTGGCATGTTGTTGTTATATTACACCTAGAACAAAGGACATGCATCAATTCCTCTTTAAGTTGCCGAATTGACACTCAGAATAATTAAACAAATTTACTCCGAATCCACGTTCTGCTTATCATTCAGTCACTCACCGTTCGTAGGAAATGTAACTATTAATAGTAGTTTTTTCACTGCTTAGCTTAATTTTAATAAACTTTATGTACGAAACTTATATTTACCCACCTTTACTTTTTACCACACGGTTAAAAAAGGAAGTACTCGAAGTTGGTTGCGGTGGACGTAGAAACTATAACAGAGCTGCCAACTTTTTTAGTAGATGTAACATTTTTATTAATTCTTATGTGCTATTGTGGGATTATGTTCGCAAAGAATTCGAAAGCAGTTTAAAGCAATTAGATAAAAGCGGGAGAAAATATAATAAGACTTTTTTCATAATTATCATGAATATTGAGATAAACCATTTAATTAAAATGAAAGGCATTGTAAAGTGATAAAAATTATTTATTGATATATGTTAAAGATTCATTCTCCACTTTGCAATATTTGCAATAACGGAAGTTTGTTTTGTTTCTCTTAATGACCACATATAAAGTTTCTCCAGTATACTATAATCTTCAATTTCAACTGTACATAACTCAAATAGTTTTAAGTAACATTACAAATGTAAGTGCAAAATTATTTAAATAATACTCGGATAAAGTGTGGGTGAAATTAAATTTAATTATGTATAAGTTATTTATTTTAACAATTTAATTATATTAGAAATATGTGTAAAACTGTAATTGTTTTAAAGTAAATCCATATGTTAGCATACCTGTTTACCTATATATATATATATATATATATATATTATATATAAACTCATATATGCAACAAATTGGCATCAACAGCATAAGTGCATTGAAGCAAGTTTTGGTTGGAATAAATTAAACGCTTAAATGTACATTGAATGCATTGGATTGTATAATATAAATATAATTACAAAAATGTATTTTCCTGGATTCCTTTAAGAAATTAAGCGAAGCTAATGCTTTTATTAGAAAGAAAAGTTCAATGACAACCATAATAAACGAAAATTTTCCATCGATGAGATACAAAACATTGCATTGAGATTAGAAAAGTGCAAGTGTTACAACATATACATGTATACAGTTAACGGCTTTGGAAATAGTCTCTTTGTATTAAAAAAACTTTTAACCGAAAAATCTCTAAGATGTGGTTGGAAACAATTACAAACTATATTGCAGGATGATATGACTTTCTTTTGAGATGATTTTCAATTTTATCGAAAGACTTACAGGACATTCCGAGCCATGGCTTAAACATTGGTTAATCTAGTGGATACGACCGAAATGCGCTTGTGCGGCCAGAATACAAATTCGTCAAATCCTTAATCCGTTAAGTATAAAGAGGGCTCAAGAGGGCGTCCGTTCTGTTAAAAGAGTTACATTTTCGGAAAAAGCATTATTTTTGCGGGAAAATATATTTAACATTTGCCTGAAATTGTCAAAAGTAAAAGTCACTGGTGTTACTTCAATTCACACTAATGGCATCTACACGATTGTCGCTCATTAGCCAACCGGTCTACCAACCAGCTAGTAGTCATCAATCGGATGTGCGTTACAATTTTTAATTACGTAACATGAAATTATTATACAATTTTGAAATGTCACAATAGGAAATTATTGAACAGATTGGATCTACGACAAGAGAACGTTTATTTCAATAAACGATATACTACACTACTTAATATTACTTATGTACAGTGATGGATATGCTTGTGTGTGATTTGCTAATGTATTGGGCAAGAAAATATATTGTTATTGAATATATATATTAATTCTTAGTCTACAATTTTTTAACTTGCATTCAATGAGTTGGTAGGTTGAAATTAAAATTACAAGAGTAGCGTCATAAAAGATATTGTAAAATGTTAACTAACGGAATATCACAAAATTTTGACACTTCTCATTTAAAAGCAGATAATATCTAAAAATCTTATGAATTCGTCAATATTCACTCCTCTTGTATATGTCATTCTAAGACCTTATTGAATGAGTTGTCATTAGAGGGCTTGAAAAATTAAAGCTGAAGCTGCATCGTCAAATGTTTATACTCGTCATAACGAGGACAGACGGATATGTTCAAATCGGTTCAAGACTTTATGCTGATCAAGATATAAAAAAAAGTGTAAAAGTTACAGAAGGTTTGCGCCAAGTTTGTAGTTAGTTACAATCATCACGATAACGAAAGAAGACTAGAAAGACAACTAGACGGACAGACGGACAGGCGAGCTTAAATGAACTCAGGAAGTGATTCTGAATCGATCGATATAATAAAAGATGGATCTATTTCAAGTTATTCTGAATGTTTGATATATCCGCACAAATTTAATACACCTAGGTGTAGGGTACAAAAGAAAAATTCAAATTCTATAAAATAAATATTTTATCACTTTACCGTTATTATAATATATTTAGGCGAAATAAACAAACTCGAGGGCAAAAAAAGAGGATGGGCACTATCAAGTAGGAGTATCTGCACTATTTATGGGAAAAAAAGTAATCGTTTAAGCTCTCTGAGAGTTTGATATGATGGTCATTATACAAAAAAAAAAAAAAAACGAAATCATGAAATATTAACCATGTGCCCAAACATAAGATGATATTGATTTGAACTTTGGCGTAATTATTTATTTATTATATAAATCGACAGACTATCATTATCATAAACCCACAATTAATCAAGCAAGTTGAAGCGTGTCAAAAAATGATCCTAAAGGGCATATAGTTAATGTATAGCTAATGTTTCTTCATTTTTGTGAAGCTCTTTTGTTGCCACATTTTGAATTGTATGCAGTACACGTATATAGGAAATTTCATGTTCACTTGTATATTCACCATAATACTACTAATAATCATAATAATAGTAATAACCTTGATTGGTTTATGCGGTTAACAGCTATGTAAGTTGTCTAGCATACATATGATGAAAACATTAGATTAATTTATTATATATGCGTTGGTTTAATGCTTAACGGAATTATTTGGTTTTCCACTTTACATGTAAATCTTTAATAAACAAGAATTTTTTACATGATACATAAAAAATTACAAAAAAAAAAAAAAAAAAAAAAAATTAAATAAATAAATAAAGAAAAAGAATAAAAATACAAATAAAAAAGTGAGGTTATATTCGACAAGAGTCAATTTCTTTCCCCCCCAAAAGAAACCATTATTTCTTGTCACTTGTATGTGCTCGGAAAGTACGATTTTGTTAAATGTGATATTTTTTCAGAGTTTAAGCTAAATTTGGATAACGTATCTCAAAAATATAATTTAAAATGAATTTATTGTTTATGCTACGTTTTCTTATTTAATCATTTTTTTTTTTTCTTAGGAGTGATGAATCAATGCATCTCAATTTTTTACATCACGGTAATTGTATTTGTTACAGAGTACACAAACGCCTTGGAAAATGGATTAGTTAGAACTCCGCCAATGGGATGGCTATCGTGGGAAAGATTTCGTTGTAATACCGACTGTAAAAACGATCCAGACAATTGCATAAGGTATGTGAAATATAAACGTCGACATTACGTAGACAATCAGTAGACAAAATGTAAAGAATAACTGTAATATCAAATATATTTCTGAATATTTTTGATCTACAGAATATCTATATATATATATGTCATCTTACAGTGAAAGATTATTTCAAGTCATGGCAGACCTTCTAATTACTGAAGGTTATGCAGCAGCTGGCTACGAGTACGTGAATGTCGATGATTGTTGGTTGGAAAAACATCGATCGCCCAGTGGTCAGCTTATAGCTGACAGAAGTCGCTTTCCCAGTGGGATGCGAGCATTATCAGATTATGTAAGTAAATGTATAAAGTGTAACTTTCGAATTTTATTTGTTATTATTATTTTTAAATTATTATTTTTTTTTTTTTATTATTAGATTCATTCGAAAGGTTTGAAGTTCGGTATTTACGAAGATTACGGAAATTATACATGTGCAGGTTACCCGGGTATAATAGGGCATCAATATGAGGACGCTAGATTATTTGCTGACTGGAAGGTAGATTATGTTAAGCTGGACGGATGTTATGCATTCCCTCACGAAATGGAAAAGGGTTATTCCGAATTTCAAGATATTTTAAATAAAACTGGCAGACCCATGGTATTTTCCTGCAGTTGGCCAGTATACCAAATTTATGCCGGAATCAGGCCAAATTATACATCGATTAAAGAAAATTGTAATTTATGGAGAAACTATGACGACGTTCAAGATTCTTGGGTTTCAGTCGAAAGCATTATCGATTACTATGGTAATAACCAAGATCTAATTGCACCGAATAGTGGTCCAGGTCATTGGAATGATCCCGATATGGTAAGTATTTTAAAAACGTAAAAGTCTTAAAATGAAAGCATGTCGATCCATTTACATGTAAATAGGTGGACTTTAGAATTTAAAAGGATCTAAATCGAGGATAAATACTGTTGAGAAGCTCTCTTTAAAACACATTTAAACAAATGAATTCATTTAAAATTGCATATGTATCAGAAATAGTTCAAGTTCACTAACACATTAAAGAGGATAAAAAGCATTTAGCATTTGCACTGAGCTGTAAAATGTTTATCTAAGCATGGGTAAGTTGTAATACTCATGGGCTATGGACTAATGACGAACACCCTTTAATCAGTTACATTGTCGATTTAGCCATGTCCTTCCGTTATTTTGAAAAGTCCTTATAGAAATGATTGTAAAGGTATTGAAAAAAAAAATACAATTTTGGTTAATTTTTTTCATATTTATACGGATGCTATAGCAACGCCCATAGAATATACTTTCACATTTTTGTACATTTATCTGTTATGACTTGTGAGTAATGAGCAAAAACCCGAATTTTTTTTCTCCCTTTTAAATAGAGGTGTTCTCAGTTTAAGTGGTGCTATGGGCGTGTTTCTCGACCGATTTTTCCCATTTGCAATAGAAACTTGGGTGCAAGAATTTTCAATGCTTCTGGGAAATTTGACGTCGATAGATCCATTTTTGCGATTCAAAGATTACTTACAACAGACATTACACAGACGGACAGACGGACATGTCTAAATCGATTTCATATTTGATGCGGTCCAGAAAACATATACTTTTTGTGGTCTCTAATACTCCATCATGGGCAAACATTTGCAAACATTTAGACAAGATGCGGTGATCGGTATAACAATAAAAATTAAAGGAGTTATGCTATAGCAAGCTTCTACTATAATTATAATTCAAAACTCAAATATTCGGACTATTCGACAAATTTGCCATGCCCCCATTAATCTCTTTATAGCATTTTTGATTCTTTAAACAATTATGTCAGCTAATAAAAAAAATGTAGACATTGTAGCCCTCAGCCTTTCCCTTTTCCCCATAGTTTACATGGTCTTTGAAGGACATTTCAGGGCAATGGAACCCCTGCCTTGATGATGGGTACAAAAATTCTGTAAATTAACATTTATAGGATGATCAGATTAAAATTTATTCTGTTGGAGCTTGTTCGCATCGGAAATTTTTAATGTTTTCTTTTGGCATCGCTTTTACATTTTAAGGCTCACCTGTGATGGGATAACAGCTGTCCAAGGATTATGTTTTTCTTTATATTTAATGTAATTTTCGTTTAACAATTTACAGTTGATTGTTGGTAATTTTGGATTGAGTTACGATCAGGCGAAAACACAATTCGCAATTTGGTCAATTCTTGCGGCGCCTTTATTGATGTCCGTGGACTTAAGAACAATACGGCCAGAATTTAAAGAAATTTTGTTGAATAGAAAAATTATCGCAGTTGATCAAGATCCACTGGGCATACAAGGTAGACGAATATACAAGCATCGAGGAATCGAAATATGGTCCAGGCCTATCAATCCGATTGTTGGTACATTTTATTCTTACGCAATAGCATTTGTTAACAGGCGAGCGGATGGCACACCTTCGGATATATCTGTGACTCTTAAAGAACTCGGGCTAATATCTTTAAATGGATACTTAGTAGAAGTATGGAATTTTATTATACTTCTTATGTATATAATAAATTTGAATTTACTTTTTAGGATTTGTATGAAAACGTCGACTATGGAATTCTCTATCCAAGTACAAAAATTAAAGTCAAAGTTAATCCATCAGGTGTGGTGATGTTAAAAGCTGAGGTTTATGTTGACGCAAAGTATCCAAATTCCTATAAATATGTCTTTTCTCTTTAATCAATAGTTTAGCTAAAAAGTTTTTATTAACATTAATTCTTTTAATTTTTTTTTTTTTTTTTTTTTTTTTTACGTATCTGTTAAAAAAACAATTAAGAATTCGTATAAAAGTAATCAGGCGGAATTACTCGGTGGTATATGATATAATGATTTTTGTCGAAATGTTCCGCGTGGAATGCAAAACTCTGCTGTTATGAATAATTATGTGAAAACAACAGTTATTAAGCATTATAAACTAGTGATAACATATCAGAATATATACATCGAAGTGGAGTTTTTTTTGAGTTGGTTCACTAAAATCATAGAAATAAAGTGAAATTTTTTATACGAAAAAAACATGATTTCATGATGTGTTCAGGAAGGAGGGAAGACGCACCCATTTTGTCATAAGTTTTGACAAACCTTCAAAGACCCTATCATGCATACACTAACCTATGTCTGTCTGAGAATCTTGCACATAAGCCGGTAATGAAAACGCGCCCAACCTCAAACTGAGAACACTTCTGCTTTTTGGCTTTTTCGCTCATCACTGATAAATTACAAGATTTCATCATGTTTATACTCATCACCGAAAGATGAGGGAGGGACATATTCAATTGATCAAAACGTTTGACCAGAAGAAAGCTTCAGAGACGGCGGCTATTCTTAATCGGCATCAAAGCCCGAATTGATTTAATCTTGGCCATCTGTCTGCCTGCGTAATGTCTATTTTAAATATTCTCTTGGCCGCAAAAGTGAAGAAGCTATCGACTTAAAATTCCGATTGGTTTTAAAAATATTATAGTTCTACTGATTATTATCATTCTTTATATCGAAAAGAAAATTGTCAAGACGTGTGGTTTCCGTAACATTTTTCATAGCTTTAATCAGTGTCAAGTACTATTTGAGCTACAATCACAATCTTTTAACTTGTTCACCCAATTGCCTCGATTGTAATGCCTCCACACAAAGAACAACAACATCAGCTTTATAGGTCGAGCGCTGCAGTATTCAAATGATCCTTCACTTTGCGGTGGTCGCAAATTGTCTGCAGCGACGCAGCAGATTGAGGTTCAAAATAGTTCGCTGAAATTGGAGTGAAGTGGTTCAACAAAAAAGGTGAGCATGGAAACACATTAATTTAATTGATCACATTTTTCGGGATTCGGTACATTTGCGTCTTGTGCAAGATTTTTACAAGAAGTGCAATAATGGGATAGTTACAAACGCAAAAATATAAGTCCGCGTAAAGGTTGTTGTATTTGCTGATAAACAGCAAAGGCAAAGGAAGGATGAATGCAAACATGATTCGTAAATATATCAAAAGAAAAAAAGAGCCATACGCTAAGTACGTTACACTAATTCGCTTGATGCAAATATACGCAGGTTTTGATAATAATACATCAAAAATTACCCATTATTTTCATGCAAAGGTATACGTTTCATGAAAGCCCGCATATTGAAGGATGCCCAAAATATATATGAATTCCCCTTCTTGCAAATTCTTTAAAGAATAAAAGTAATTTAATTTAAATACATCATTTAATTTAATTTAAAAGATGAACATGTCTATTTATTGCGTGAAATTTGAAGAAAACATTCATTTTTGAAAATCGGAATGTACAGTATATTTTGCAGCATAATTTCTATATAAATAATGTCTGCAAGTATCCAGCACTTACGTGTAGAACCACTTAAAACGATTTTAAAAACCGTTTTTAATTGAAGTTGTTAATTTTCACCCGTTTTTAACCCTCTGAAAAATAGACTCTCAAAAACACCGCCCTATATAATATGATATGTTACCTCTTTCATCATCATTATAGATATGTGAATGATGTACATTTAGATAATAACATGATAAAACGCATCGATGTTTTAGAAGGCAGTTGTTGGCTTGAACATTTCCAACATGAGCTTATAACTTGCACACAAATCGAGCCTTTAAGACTATCAATACCATCCATCAATGCTGCTTGCCACCAACTACTGGACTACCTTTACTACATATCAGTTCTGTTAGTATGAGAAATTTGCGGCCCGTTCTGTTAGTGTCAGAAATTTGCGTCCAATTCTGATAGTGAGAGAAATGTGAGTGCTAAAGGTGGAGGTATGGAAATTCGATTGAAAAACATATGAATTCAAAAGGAGGTATGGAAAATATGTACGAAAAGATATGAATTCGAAAGGAGGTATGGAAAAAACATAGAAAAACATATGAATTCAATAGGAGGTATGGAAAAAACATACAAAAACATATGAATTCAAAAGGAGGTATGGAAAAAATATACCAAATTGTTTACAATTCAAAAGGAAGTACCATTATAAAACTATCGTTAAGTATTACCATTTTATTCCATTACTTCATTATTCTTTCGTAGCCGAATAGCAAAGAAGAACACCAAATATAGGTTCAAATATTTTTAAATGTTTTAAAGTACATATCGAGTCAACCCTGTGCCACTTTTTGTAGTACATTTACTTTGCGATTGCTCGCAAAATAATGAATCGGTTTGTTTTTTTATCTTCTTCTAAAATTGTGTTCTCTTTTCGAATCAAGCTAAATAAATATGATTCCGGAGGAACAAAAATTCAATGTCTAATTTGCCTAATCTATACCAAAAAAGTGGAAATTCGTTCGCTTATATACAAAGGTATAAGAACTCAATTTTTATAAACATATAAATTGTATAATTTTGAAATTTCTTCTTCTACAGCTCACGATAAACACGAAATTCTTTGCTTAAACCTTAAAAAACTTATTTAATTCTGAAAGTATATCATAACGTTCCTTTGAGAATAAATGTGTGGTGGCAACCATAACAAACATGTAATGATAACAATACGAGATATACGAGACATTTGCCAGCTGTGCTAATGAATTTTATCGTATCCAAACAGCGGTGCAATTTTTCGTATTCGCTACGAAATTAAGTAATACAATAGCTGGTGAGCGGAGCTGATGTTTTTGTTGTTTGGTGGTGTATTTCGTGTTATGGAGTTTTCAGTGGGATAAATTATAATAAACTGTTTTGTGAAAAGTTTTAAAGAAAAAAAAACAAAAAGAATTTGCAATTTAGAAAGCCAAGGCAATAAAGTGACAATGAAAAACAACTATAAATGATAGGAATGTAAGTAAACGAACCTGTGTATGTATGAAAAATTCAGACAGTTCCCTTATGTATATATACAAAACATATACACATTTATATACAGAAGTGTCATTATGTATTGTGAGTTTTATTTTTTTTTTTGCTATTTAATGTTTTCAAAAACGAGTTGATGTGAAGTATTTTTTTTTTATTTGCAAATTTATATTAAATCGTGTACATATCGATATAACCAATATATTTCAATTAATTCAAAAAACGAAAAAAGAAAACAAGAATTCTTTACGCGTTGTAAGGATACATTTTCAGCACTAAAATTTTTCATTTATAGTCCTTGTTGCCTCTTACACAATTAGCGTTTATTGCAAGTGCCTCGTCCTGATCAATTTTTGACAAATCTAAACGGTGAGTTTCTGCGAGCTCATTAAATTTATTGTACGAAACATGAATAGCGCAAAAAAAAACTGTTATTTATGCAAATAGGCAAAGTATTTTTGCAAAGAAAGAAAACGTCGTGAACAACGTATTTAGCAAATATCACCGAAAAACCAATATTAAAAAATACAAAAAATATTATATAGATCGAATTAATTGCCTGCCTTTATGAGATTGATTATCTAAAGCAATATAAGACAATAGGAGGTCGCCATCCATACTATAGTTCAACTAAACAATGAAATTTGGAAATAAACTCTACGTTGTACGCAATTTTCTTTCATATTAACAGCACACGATTATAAATACAAAAGATGTTTCTTTTGTATGTCCGCCAATGTTACCCCCAATCTAAATAAATTTTGTTCAAAGACGATATGAGCTTAATCACTTTTTATTTTCTTATCCCCCACTTTTTGTATTATTGGTAATGGGACGTATTGACTTCTTGGTCTTCTCTTCCTGAAATTATCCCTTGACTATGTGTGGATGTTGGTTCTCGCGTCTGTTATGAGACTGAACTTCTAATTAATTAATATCCAATAGAAGCTATCAGAGCATAGATGACCTGAATTGTTATGACTGTCAGGACATAGGCGGACAAAGGAAGTATAGCGTTAATGTGGCAATACCTCACGGAAAAAAACTCTCTACATCGTCAATGTTATTGTTAAAATTGCAAGAATCTCTGATTGAGATATTTTCCATTCCATCCACCACGTAATGTCATATGCAATTTCACAACGCACAAGTAGGAGGGCTCTCCTGCTAAACCGTGCCCCCGTTTGCTACCGTATTTATTATTATTGTTATTTTTGTACATACCATCGAAAAATGTGAGATTTTGCCTTCTGACTACACTATAATCTTGAAATAATTAAAACAATTTGTTAGAAGTACTCCTCAGAGTTAAATTAAAATACGCAAGTCACATTATCTGACGCGTATCAAAAGCCGTTTCAAGCCGAACTTAGCTTCGCTGGCTGCTTTTACTATAAAGCATTCTATTTAATACAATGAATCCTTAACTGAAGGCGGAGAGTATTAGCAGATGTGGCTATCAGCTTAGTTTTAAGAAAAAAAGACTTAAAAGGATATATTTCCGAAGAAGAGAGTAGTATCCCTGTGATCACTGATTGGAGTAACCAAAATTTCTCTTAGTCTGCTTAGTTGTTGAACTGGAAGCAGCTTTGTTTGTAATTTATAAACTCTTTTTTTTTTTGAATGGAAGCAGCAAATGTATTCATGATATTGAGGAAGTTTGGGTACGGGTCCTAAGTATGGGACTTTCCGGCATTCCTCTTGCTTCATATTTTGGAAAGTTGCAAGGGGTTTGGGTAAAACGTATTAACCTTTAAAAGATTAAAGTTAATTAATTGTTGTTTAATAAGCAGCATTCGTTTTTTAAAAAGTAATGGATTTTAAGTTTGAATTTTGATTGGATCAAAAAAATTGTAATTTTGAGTAAAAACGAGTCTTGTTCCAAAAATAATCGTGTGCCTCTCTTGAAGACAAGCCTTTAAAGGTGGCGATGCAATATTCATTGATATTGCAAGTCTCAAACGATAAACTACGATGATTACGATTTTTGCATTTCCCCCCAAGTGGAAATGAGTTGTTTTAGTTATTCGTAAGAATGTATTGGTTTTTTACTAATTATCCTACTCGCCAAGGTGGTCAGCAGCTGGGAAATAGAAATTTATAAAAAAACGCACTATTTCTATACAGATAAAGATATATATCAGGCAACTGTTGGTCGAGACATTATCGGAACTAGCAAACGGGTTTTTAAAGAGTCGGTCATCTGAAATAAAATTCATGTTTGAAGGAAATTCCCTTAATTGGGATGAGACAAGTCTATAAATACTTTAAAACATTTAAACATGTTACCTAGATTTTTCACCCATAAACAGAATTAGCAACCGTAGGAGGCAGTCGACAATCAAAGCAGACAAGTAAATCATCTTATTAGTTTATCGCTTCCTTTTATGAAAGTGAGTTCAGGTGGAAAAAATTGAAGAACGTTTTAAAAACCCGTCCGCCTTCTTTTCGAAAAACAATTATTTGTAACAAGAACAATTATTCGTAACAAGAGCACTGGTAAATTTATATCAAGTTTACAGAGTGATTTGCCTTAACATAGAACCTTTATCGCAATCTAATCGTCCATAAAAATGTTTTTTTTGAAATCATATACACGGAAAGTATTTCAACTTTGCTATGAATTATAAAAGAAAAAAACCGTAAGTTTCTGAGCAATAATTGTAAATTTTTTCTTCCTTTCTAGTCGAATTTCGGATACTCAACAATCTCGCGTGACCATAAAAAAGCTTTGAAAGAAGATTTTTAGCAGCAGTATAGCAGAATTCATTGCCTTGTTTTTTATATACCACATTTCTATTTGTTCTCTGCTGTACATTAGAACTTAGACTTCTTCAACTGCTGTGATAATATTTGTGGACTAATCAACCCACATGTGCTAACTTTCAACGGTTTCTCTCGATTTATTTGAATGTTATAATAGAAGGCGGCACTAATAATGGAGTTCTAACTATAGCGGTTCAATATCTTACGTTAGCAAAGAAAAAACTACCTTCATTAGAAGCAGTAAAAATCTGTCGCTATTTTGGAGTTTCGATCGTTTATTGTTAAAAAGATCTCGTTTTTTTTCGGAGAGTTCTTTAAAATCGTATTGGGTCTTCGATTTAAAATCTCTATTCAAATATTTCACTGAATAGTTTATAATTTAGAGCCTTTCATGAATAATATCATGTGTTCACAGAGGTTTAAATTTTTCTCTCTTTCTCTGTCTGTCTGTCTCTCTCTCTCTATCTCTTTGTCTCTGTCCAATTTAATCTATACAAATTCTAAATTTATAATGTAAAAATTCGTGATTCCCTTCAAAGGACCTCTAAAGCACGGTTTTTCCTAATGTAGTTATTATGATTGACGTTGCTTAGATCAGATAAAACGACCATTTGTTATTCGTAGCTGCTTGCGTTACTATAGCCTAAGTATTTTCGAGAAAATACAAAATTATTATTTGTAATTGCCGAAGTGCTTCATTTCAATGTAAGGCGGATGGAATCATATGAGCCATCATCTTTTGCCAGAGGGAGATAGCAAAACAATATAAAACAGTAAAGACTTGTTAGGCATCACTATTCGTTTTTCAAAGTATGTAGTGTTTACACAAAAGCTACCTTTATAGGCTTATAAACACAGAGAACTATGATTTGGTAATTTTGAAATCAATTGATTGCGTCAACAAAGTACAACAGTAGGCCAATAAAATGTAGTGTTTTTTTTTTGTCTCTGAAAATTTTTCATAGTTTTTTTTTTATTTATTTTAACCGAAAAGGTAATCAGTCCGAAAATAATCGATTAATAAGCAAGCATTTTAAGAAATTTCGAGCCTGTCTGTCATTTACTTTTTCATTTAAACGAGATCATGGCAACCCTGTGTGGTAACGCCAGTTTAACGATTGCCATGGTTTAGCTCTTGATTGACGAATCCCAGGTTATTGTGTTTTTTGTGCTATTGTAATTATTGACCAATCGACTATTAAAATTATTTTTTGATTCTATTTCATTGGATTATATTGCAAAGTCTCAGTTGAAATATTAATAGATGGAACTCGGAAAAAAGAGGTAATCTAGAATTGAAATTTATAAGTGACCTTGAAAAGCGAGTTATTGTAGATACATTTGTGTGCATGTTCATGTATGGTTAAAATTAAAAAAATCCAAGAATGTGTATAATATAAAGCTATTGATATATTGTGTGCATGTATGTAATAATATTTTAAAAAAAATTTTGTTTTATAGATAAAATTAATAAGTTCCCAAACTCACATGAAAAAAGCTTGCATGTGGAAATAAAAAAAAAAGGCTTTAAGACTTTTAAAGTATGACTCGATATAATTCAGTTTAAGCAAAAAAATTCATTGGAAAAACTGATGTACATATAATAACACACACCACAATCCAAAAAAAAAAAAAAAAAAAAAAAATGTATATTGAAAAAGTAGGTGGTGTTTTTTTTTCTTTTTGTTATAAACCTTTGTGTTGGACACATACATGTATGCATACATGCATAACTCGTCTTTATAGCAGGGATGAGAAATCTACCTAACTTTTTATTACTGAAGTTTCTTATACATGCGTGCACATGCACACACAAACATGTGGAGCCCTAAACGCTAGTGATGTTTGCGGCAAGCAGGTAGAGGACGTAGAGGATATATCGTGTTTGTTCTACTGTTTGTAACATGAAGCCTATCATAATACGCATTGCAAATTTTATATCTATAACTCTTTTTGAGGATGAGATCCAAACGTGTAATTGATGTATGGCGAAATGAATGTGGTGATATTAAAGTTCGAATATAACTCAAATCGTCGAAACATTTTTATAGTTATTAAAGGGTTAAAAACAAGTGCAAAAACTCTCCTGGTGACAATAGTTAAAATATAGAAGAATGGGATGTGTTCGTTGGAAAATCTCACAGTTGATATGCTTTTTAAAGTAAGAAAAATTTCATTTTTGTGCTCACCATTGAAGGATGGTCCTTCCATTGGTTCCCAATAATTCATGCAATAAATTGGCAGGATAAATCTACCCATCCAGTTCGAAAATAGTCGAGACCATCTTAGGATAAAGAAAAAATCTATAGCACATACAGATGCTTACCTGATCCATCTAGAAAATTGTACTCATCGGACAAACAGCGATTCTAGCAATATCAAAGTCGTCCAAGGTGCAGGCGTTAAAAATGATGGCCTTGATATGATGTCACATCTAGTGATTATAATGGTCTAAAGGGGATTCAAATGCTCGTCTTCATTATTAGCTAACATCATCAAAAAATACAAGAAAGCAGTATTATAATCATTCTTGCTAAGATGATGAGACAGACTAGATAGATTGATGGCATCTACAAATGCTCTACCTTCTATATTTAATGAACAAAGCGTGCCTCGAAAAATGCTTTGCGATTTGGGGAAAAAAACTTGACAGAGGGGGATTAGAAAGTGTAAAAGTATTCCGTTTGACTATATCAGGAACGGGGCTTTGCGCTCTACGTATTCTCTCTTGAATGTGCTTCCATATAATTTGTTTAATCAATCGTTTTGAAAGTTTAGAGTGAATATCTCGCTTACTTAAAAGTAATCGCTTCCTGTGACATTTCAAAGAATTATGGCCTTTGCCTATTCAGTAAGTCAAACCTTGAATTCTATTCGTTCTGCGGTTGTTGTAGTTCAAGATTATAGTGGTAAACTCAAAACTTAATATAATTTAATTTTGCATTTGCCTTATAATTATCTATCTTTGATACATAAATGACCTTCTAATTGGTCCCTTTCGGCCCAATTAAGAATTAATAAGCGGTTGCAAAACAAAAAAAGTTATCACAGTAAGACGGATGTCTTGCTCCCTACACAGTGTACAAAACAACTTTATAAAAATGTGATGATGATATAAAAAAGAACGAAGATTGCTATTCCTATTCCTATTCGATGGACAATCGGCTGCTCTTACGTGTGTCCAAGGCACTGTTTTTTGAAGAAGCTGGCTTTTTATTATATGGTAGTGTAGAAGGTTCGCGTTTAATGCAAACTTTTCTTTAAATAGACGGACAGCAGCTGATTTTTATTTTTTTCATTAATGCATAAAATTTTAATCAAAATTTCTATTCTTTTATAGATATAAGGGTGGCCGAACACCTGCTGTAAGGTCAAGCGATAGACGTCGACCTCAAAGCATTTCAACCTTATCTCCACGTGTAGTACTGTCGAGATTAGAGCCTAGAGATTTTGAACGCTTACGCCTATCGTATAAAGTTGCTGTTATAGATCAGCGGAGGTCTCGAAGCTGCCGTGGCATGAACATGGGTCAAAAAATAAGTAGTAGCGTTAAGACAGTCAATAGAAATGATTCGCAAACATCATTTAAACCAATAATACCCAGAGAATTGGCTGCAGAATTTGCAAAACCAGCGCGCATTGATATTCTATTGGATATGCCTCCCGCAAGCAAAGAAGTACAACTAAAGCATTCTTGGAATCCAGAGGATAGATCATTGAACATATTTGTAAAAGAAGATGATAAGCTTACATTTCATAGGCATCCGGTAGCACAAAGTACTGATTGCATTCGCGGAAAGGTGGGCATGACGAAAGGATTACACGTTTGGGAAATATATTGGCCAACCAGGCAGAGAGGTACACATGCCGTTGTAGGTGTGGCAACTTCAGAAGCACTGCTGCATTCAGTTGGCTATCAAAGTTTGGTAGGTTCTTCCGAGCACAGCTGGGGTTGGGATTTAGGTAGAAATAAATTATATCATGACTCCAAAAACTGCGCTGGCGTCACTTATCCAGCTATTTTAAAAAATGACGAGGCTTTCTTGGTCCCTGATAAATTTTTGGTTGCATTAGACATGGACGAGGGGACCTTAAGTTTTATTGTTGATCAACAATATCTTGGTGTTGCGTTTAAAGGATTGAAAGGTAAAAAACTTTATCCAGTTGTATCAGCAGTTTGGGGGCATTGTGAAATTACAATGCGCTATATAGGCGGTTTGGATCGTAAGTTAAGAATTAAAAAGAAAAAAGAAACTGCCTTTGTTTACAATGAGCGTTATTTTAAAATTACAGCCGAACCTCTTCCCTTAATGGACTTATGCAGAAGAACGATTCGTCAAACAATAGGTCGAGTTCATCTCGAAGAGCGTGTTCAAGAGTTACACCTACCGCAATCCATGAAATCATACTTATTATACAAAAATCGTAGATAATAGTTTTAATCGATTTATTTTATTATGGAAAACTTGAATTTTAATTTAAGTTAATTAACTAATTTTTATAAAATATTATTATATACACCATACTTATAACGCATTCTTTGTCTAAAAAAAAAGCATGTCTTCTCAAGAAAAAAAAAAAAAAAAAAAAAAAGAAAGAAAAAAATGAAAGAAAACAAAAAAGCAGAAAAAAGAAGTAGTCTACAACACTAGCACGTAAGGTAATCTCTAAATTGTCTTGTATGAAAACGATCAAGTAAAGCGATAATATTAAAATTGTTTGTTGTTAATATTTGATCAGAGCAGAGAAGAATTTCTCACAGTATTAGAGATAAGGATGTTGCAAATTAACGATATAATATAATATAAGGATAAGAGTATTCTATGATAATAAGTAAATTGTATACATTAATGTAGTGTAATATGTAATTGTATATGGCTACACGTATTTATTTAATTTTAATTATTTGTGCAGTTCACATACAAAGCAAAATAGAAAAAGAGAATGAGTCAGAGCACATATTTTATACTTTAGTTTCTTTTTTATTTTTTTTTTTTTTTAAATTATAAGAACCGTTCGAATATAATTCTGATTTAAAAAATGACTGCACTTGCCACTATTCTCTATAAAATTTAAATAATGCATAAATATATATATATATAGGCATATATATATATATGTATATACATATATATATATATAAAGAAAAAATTATAATAAATGAACGGCATTTTTTTATACTCTACATGAAAAAATTTTATTTGTTCTCATCACATCATTGTATATGTACATACATAAATGCAAACATGTTTTATCTAATACGATGCCGATTACATACAGTAATTATAATTAGTAAACTGCAATTAAAAATTCTTGTATCATTCTCTGTTATATGTATGTGTAGTAAGCTTTTGATAGCATGTAAATGTAATGATACTAGCGGCTCTTTAGCACTAAACAAGGGATGACTATGATAATTCTGCTAGTATAGTACAGTATATAGATACTGATCGGGGTGAAAAAAAATCTTTTTTTTTTTTTTCCTCTGACATACATGGGGAAAGCAGTTCAATTAAAGTTAATTTATTCAATTAGAGTGACTGAACGCATGGCTATTTGTCGAACTCATTCGTTGCGGCATTTAAAACCATTCGCTTTGTTTGGATGCTGAGCCAAAAAAGGGTAAGAGGGTGAACCATCTGTTATATTTTTTTCTTTCAATATAAAATAATTTTAAATGCAAAATAATCATGTATATAGAATGATAGCGTAAATGAATGAATGATAATTAAGTCTACTAATACAGTTACTTGAGGCGTGTTCACTAAAATTCTTGCTTTCAATAAAAGAGAATTCACGCTTTTTTAAATAACTTAAGTAACTTCATCTAAAAATAACTTTGCCTTTAGATGCCAGCTCTAAGGGGTCAGTATTCGTGCAAATGTATGAAAGTCGTTGCGCAACGAATTGTGTGGTTCATCTCTTCCTAAAACATGCCCATTTCGGTGAGTTTCGGGCAAAAAAGATCGATTACCAAGGGTTCGTTTATTCACTCTGCCTACAACTTCATGGCTTTCTACTAAGACTACCGGAATTCCATAAAAAATATGTTCAAAGTCATGAACCTATAGGCGGAATAAGAGAAAATAAAAAACAAAAGTTTGAGAGGTGATAGGTACAACCAAACTGTGTGGCATTGCGATCTTCAAGAAGAGCCACGACTTTTTTTACTCCTTGAGTATTCATGAATAAAATGCGCTAAAAAAAGGAGATGAAAAAACGGAGAGAAACCATAAAAACTGAAGGGAGTTTTATATCATCTCAAGTAACATTTATATAAGTTTTTAATTAGATTTTTGATGTGATTATTAGAGAAAATTGAAGTTTCTCAACCAAAATGTAACCGATGATATTAAACTTATTTATTACAGAACCGCTTCATTTTTATAATCGTTCATAAAAACTTCAACAAGCAGATTGATGGAGTTCAAGGTAAATATTTTTTAAAGCTCTTTTCTTTTTTTTTTTAAAACTTCATTACAAAATATTATTAGTGCATACAAAACATTGATAGCAAAAAAAAAAAAAAGAAAAAGATTGCATATATATTGGTAAGTAAAAGAAAGACCACCCCTTTTATCATTTGGACTTCAAATGAAAATTGCATAGTCTTTCTGCTTAAAGCAAAAGAGGGTGATTGTGTGTTTACAATTGATTTGTTAGAAATGTTAAAACATATTCGCATATTCGGCTGAGATGTATCACACATCAACGGATATCCACTTGTCAAATACTACACAAGTCATATACTATTATGCTCTATCGTTAGTTAGTTATTGCAATCATCAACTGCCGGCTTATCAGATGAATTCAAGGGGTCAAAGATGTGGGCTAAGTCTCTGTTAAAAACATTTAAGGTGTCCATCAAATGGCCTCAAAGTGAACGGTAACGGCATTTCAGTATCGAGTTGAGCGAATAATAAACGAACAATCGGCCAAAGAGCTACGTATACGCGGCATTAATAATATAAATGGGTTCCAACTCGAGCTAGAAAATCGTAGTTAGTTTGGGGGGGTTGTGATTGTCTTAAACGATCGTTGAAGGGGAATTTCAATTTAAGCATATCTGTCTGTCTTTTGAACGCACTCTTCTGGCCGCAAAAATGAAGCTATCGACTTCAAATTTGGCAGAAAGTTTATGCACCTCTATAGCATTACGTAACCTAAGAACGTCTAGGTTTCTTTGAAAAAATTCAAATATTGGTACGGCAGATAAGTTTAGAAACATTTGTACATATATTCTATGGGCGATGGTGTAGCACTTGTACAAGGATGAAAACGCGCGGAAGCAAACTTTAAAGAACAGATAAAGGATATAAATTCTTGGCAAGTTTCAAATTCTGAATTCTCCGTCTGTCCATCTGTCCGTGTGCAGTCACTGAGAACGTGAAAAATTGTCCGTAATTGCCAATGTATCTATTTGTGAAGGTCCAAGTTTCCCATGGCATCATCCATAGGTGCAGAGGCAGCATGCTACACCGCTGGGGCACCATCTCGAAGTCGAAGGATTCCACATAGCTTTTAATATAGACAAACGGTTCGCAGCATGAAGGGTAGCTCGGGCTTCGGTTGTGAAAGCTGAAGTACTTAAGCACATTGAGAAGAATCTGTTCTTAAGCGTCTACCATGGCACAAGCAGATGGCAGACCAGAAAATTTTGAGCCATCTGTGTGTAAAAGAAGAATGTGTTGTTTGGTGTTTCTTGTTCGCATTCTCCTGATAGAAAATGCGTCAAATTGGTCAGAGCAGAAGCCCGCAGTAGAGGGTAAACTGAACACAACTTCATTATCCTTAACAAAAACTTGTGAAGGCCCCGAATCTTCCTCCTGGATGTTGCAACTTTGTTGATAAAACGAATAAAATTATCGACCTTCGGTGATGGATATAAGAATCGCATGATTAATTCAGGCCTTCCAGTTGCGTTTATGATTAAAAGTTTTTAATACTTTTTAAACACAGAAGTTAGTTTCGCTGCAGCTTTATAAAAAATTATATACAAGTAGAGCTCCTATAAGATTTTGCTTCTATGAATCTCAAGTTATTCGGAACTGCCACCACTTTTTCATTATCCAGAGCAGCATTAAAATCTCCAATCAAGTCTTTTAATTGCCTTTTTAATATAGATGGTATTTTTTGATCTTTCTTCTCGGCTTTGTGGGACAGAATATTTAAAACTACTTTGTACATTCCTCAAATGAAGATACATTATCTGCCTAAAAATGTGTTAATTTTGAAATGAATAGACACGGTGATCTGTTGGATTAATTCTTTCTTAATAATACCAGCGATATGGATATCAAATAAAAGAACTGTGAGAGTAGAATGCGAAAAGCCTAGTGGTGGTGGGTATGAGAATAATTCTTTATATATGTAACGCATATAAGACGAATTTTGAACGATTCATAATAGTCGTCTATTGACGTTCAAAGTTATATTTCCGTAAAATCAAAAATTTTTATTCACTTTATTGGAAGCGCCAATCTGTGAAATGAGAGAAAATATGTTATTTAGCTAATTATCGAAGTGTTAATAAATATCCTGATGAAGCAATCAAAAATATACATAATATTTAACTCCATCTATAGTGGGCGTATGCCCTATTGTTTTCGCATAACTTGTGTAAATCGTTTTTCCTTTTCATGACTCTTCCTTGACCGTGAGCGGCATCTAATATCTCCCAAGCTAATTTCTCTGGCAAATGAATTTTTCTCTCCTTTTCTCGGGCTGCTTCTAAAAGCCATTTCATTGAAAGAAAATAAGAGTGCTTTTCAGTAAGTGGCACTGGGACTTGATATGTAACTCCACCTCGCTTAATAGCTGTAACATTTAGCAAGGGCCGGCAATTTTCTATGGCTTGAAATAGGAGCGCATAAGGATCGACTATTATATTTTCACCTTTCCCCAAATTCAAGCGCTCTATTTGCGTTCGTTTAATGCGTTCGAAAGTGCGTTCCAATAATTCTCTGGCTAGCTTTTTGTTTCCTCCTTTCGTCATGTAGTTAATCATTTTGTTGACAATTTCGTTGTAGAAAATTGAATGGGATTGATCGTTTTTCGGAGGTTTTGTGGGGAAATGAAGTAGTTGAGCAAATTCACCGCTTTCCTTTGCTAATTTTTGTTTTTCTTTGGAAAAAATTGGATCCACATAGCTCTTAGGGAAGACGGACATTTCTCTGACAGAAAAAGAGATTACTGGGCTGCAATTTGAATAATAATATATGAACAAAAATATTTATAGCTAATAGTTTCACTCACCAAATATTTTTTGTATTTCTTAAAAAGGATGCAATCATTTTCGTTTTTGGTTTAATAAACAAATAACAGGTTACAATATTTTTAACTTGGATTACATATGTTACCTTAGAGATGGAAATCATGTTTATCGATTCATTCTGTTAATTGTAAATAAATGATAATCATCCGCAGCCGTTTGAAAATAAGGGCTGAGTTAACGTAGTTTTGTTCCGTGATATTCATGGGAAGAAGAACTATACTTTATCCTAATTTATACGGTTGAAATAATTTCAACACGTTTCTTCATTCCTAACGATTTATGAACTTTACAGCTTCATGCAATCTAATCATGTCTTTCCTCTGAATTTTATTTCGCGAGCCACATTTGATCATTATAATCGTTATAATTGATATTCCTCCACGTAATGCAATCATATTGCCGGATACTTGAAAAGATATCGACTGGGACCACTATTGTCAGAGTATGCTTATTATATTTCCCTGCTTTATTTGTAATTCTGGATGCGGAGCGACTTCCTGTGGAGGATAGTGACACGAGTGTAGGATAGTGACAAAGTTGTAATACCATGATCTAATGTTCTGAGTTTCGAATATATTATTTTATACTTTGTTACACGAAATAATATTGTTTTGGCCCAAATACGTTTTTTAACAAAACTAAAAGTTGTAATAATACTAATTTTAAAATTTTTTCCATTATTAGTCAAAACTTTTCAATTGCTTCAGATAACTCAGAGAAAAATAATTGTTCGTTTCAAGCTGGATGAAACTAAACGACAATGGAGATCTTGGGAGATATAAAAGTATGTATAAATTGGTGAATAAAGAAGATATAGTAAATTCATCTTCTTACGGCCCCTATTAGCCGTTGAAACGTTTTCGGTATTTCTTTGCACAATGCGTTGGCGATTTTTACGGTGCAATCGTCAAAAAAATGCATAAATAATAGAAGAAACGATAGAAGTGAATTCAAGCAGTAAATTATATATTTTTTGATCCTACACTTTCTTTCATAAATGGTTAGGGATGGAAAAATGTTAACAGTGCATAATGTAGATTATCGATATATAATTAAAAACTTTCACCTCTATCTTGTTTTTATTTGGTTTTTGAAAAACTACCTGAATATATGTATAAAGAGAGTGATTGAGAAGATATAATGAAGGTCGGAAAATTTAAGCGAAATTTCTGGCTGAGCTCGGAGATTGATTGTATGCTGAAAATCTTTAAAGAAATACATTCAGTTCAAGGAAGTACTACTACGACACATTACACATTTGTTCAGATTGCTAATAAAATGAGAAAAAGGGGATTTGTAAATAAATCGCCTGCTCAAATTCGAAGGAAATGGTTTCAAATGAAATCGGCTTATTTGTGTTATAAACGTGGAAATGTGGGTCGCTTACTTTTAATACCGGAAAGATTTCGTCCTATTATCGCGACATTTATAGATAATGAATATAAAAATTCTCTATGGTTGCAACAATCGGAATCGAGCGAAAACTTGGACATCGAAATAGAAGATGAATTTGATATAGGTAAAAGAAATGAAAATTCGTTTCTGCTTATATTCATTATTCTTTTCAAATTTTCAGGAAAGTCTAGCTTAGCATCTGTAAGAAATTTGCAGCAACAATTTCTCAAAGACTATGAGGAAATGCAAAAAAGCTTATTGCAATTGCAATTTAAATATCAGGATATACAAGACAAAAATTGGATAAAGTATCTTTCGTCAATCGATTTAAATACAGATATTCAATGTTCTGTTTAAAGTTGGGTATCTCTAATAAATCACGTAAAAGAATCTCGTAGGTTAACAAAAAATTAAGGTAAAGTAAATGTAAATCAGAATTTTTAAAGTAGAGGAGAGATAAATAATGTGCATACTGCCTGAGGGATCAATGATTTTTGCATAACTCCTAAACGCTCATTACTTTTTACAAAGTTGGTCTGGAAATTATTCCTCTCATAAAATACCCTAGGAGCATAGACACTTACTTAACCTTACCTTAGTAGGATGAATTATTTCGAAAGAGCTCCATTTGTACACTCTGTACCATTTGTATTATGAAGATACCAGGATATGTTAAGCTTGTTAGGATGTGTACAACACTAAGAAGGACTTGAGATAGAATCACTTTTTATGATATCGATCGATTTAAGCTCTCTTTCTGAATCAATGTATGTCGTCAGCCTACAGGTTTTTTTGAAATTTGGTGCACCAATATATTTCCGCCCAAGGACGAACGTTATTGGACATGGTTCGGATCAGGTCAATCTCCATATAAAGCCTTATTTGAAAACGTTTTTGTATGAATGAATGTACTAAAAGAAGTGATGTAGGGTATTTAGTGTTGGGCTGTGTTGTTTTTCAATAGACATACGGCATTGGATGGGATACTTTGTGATCTTTGAATCGTAGTAATGTAATTATTTTTGATCAGCATGAAATTCTGAATTGATTAAACTCTATCTGTCCTAAACTGAACACAACTAAATTTTTTTTAACAAGGACTTACGGGTTTTTGCTCGTTACTCAGAAATTGCAAAAGTTAGAAGGCTGAAATGTTCCAAACTTACGAAACGTAGTGGTGGGTATGTAAGATTCGACGGCCGCCGAATATAACTTTCTTACTCGTTTCCGTTTGCGACGAGTATTATTAAACTCATTGTATGAATCAGTCAATTAGAACAAAAATTAAGCATAAGCTGCGGGCTAAAAAAATTTAGTTACATCAACGTGAATGTAATGCGAAAAAAGCAAACTCTTCAGGCATTCAAGAGACCAGTAACGGTTAAATACGCTATTAATTCTTCGATTGATTGAAGTGAGAATGCTGCTTCAGAAAATGTCAATATTGTAGAAAAGGAAATTAGTAATCAATTAATATTCGAGTAAAACAAGCAAATCTACAACGAATGCTTCTTTAAATCTTGTAATATGAACTCTTTTGCTCGGTAATTATTAAATTACAAAAAATTATAAGATGCCGTTGTTGCGACCATTAAGGAGCAGGTTTATTATTTTAATCACGTAAATTTTAAAGATTTCCTTTGTTCTTTTTCTACAATTATTACATCACAAATCATTGTAAGATGCGGTTGTTGCGACCGCTATGGAGCAGGTTCTATTATTTTAATCACATGAAATCTGAAGACTTGGAATTTAACTCCAATATTGAAAAGCCTGCTTCGGAGATCGCTTTGAATCTGTGAGTCCATGATGTCATTAGGGACCGTACTCTTCCTGTGCTCTATGGATTGGCAAGTGCAAACCTTTAGCAAATAATTCTTGACTTGTAGAAGTTCTTCTTGGCAGGCATGAGCAAACACTTTTCAGTATTCTTGTACGGTACACGCGTTATTAATTAACACATGTATTTAAATGCATCGAAATCAGATAGCCTTTAAAAAGAAGTTTATTTATATTAACTTGTACACGGGATTATTATGTAAAAGACTCGGAAATGTTTATGTCATATAGAATGTGAATAAAAAGCGATGAGTGTCGAGGTTGAAATAGAAAATATTCAAAATATTCATTTTGCTCTTACTATAGCAAAAAAAGCCAAGTTTAGTCAATTTCGAAATGATGATCTCAGCGATAATGAGAGCGAGTAATAAATAATCCGCACACTAACTGAAAGTTTACTAAATTCGAATGCATTTCGGCAGTTAATTTAATTCGTATACGCTTCGAATTTAAAAGTTCGATAAAACTAGAATTAGAAAATAAATAAAATTTGTAATGAAAATGAGTTCTATTAAGACTAATTGTAAGGAAACTCTTATAATCATGATACCAATGCCTAATAAACAGTAAACATTTCCAATAATGTGATGACAAATAAGTTTTTTTCGAAAGCAACGATAGACGAAATGAGAAAGCCTTCCCTACTGAAGTATCGTAGTAAACTTGTTTCTGCCTAGCGATCAACGAATGCGTAGACAAGTCAAAGAAGTAGTAATAGCTTGTACATTTAAGAATGAAGGATTGTTTAACAAAAATGAAATATTACATTCTATTTTTCTTCTTCACTGTTCTGGAATATGGATGGATTCATATTTTATACCCATCACTGAAGGATAAGGGCTACATTCATCCCATCGAAACGTTTCGAAAGCTCAGAAGGAAGCTTCAGACACCCCACAAAGTATATATATATATATATATGCTCCATCAGTATCAAATTCTGAATCGATTTAAGCATGTTCGTGTGTCCGTGTTTGTAATGAGGCTATTGACTTCAAATTCGGCGAAAACGTTGGAAGTTCTTGCACGCAGAATGGTATTGAAAATGCGAAAATCGGTTGAAAGGCATGTGTATATTGAAGACATCCCTGCTTTCCAAAAGGAATGAAAAATTGGACTTGTGCTCATTACTCCTAGACTGTAGCGGATAGGTGTACACACTGCGGGCGATGCTATAGCACTTGCACAAACTCGGGAAAATTTGACTACGCCTGCCCAATTAGTGTATCAAAGTGTAATTTTGTACCCTTGTAACGCGCAGAAGCAAACTTCGAAAACCCCGCAAAAAACGCCTACAAATTTGCGAAAGAATATGAAAAGGACCTAAATCGGTCAAAGGACGCGCTTACGACGCCCAAGCGTATATGCACTAAGAGCTGTGGATGCCTCTGCTTCTCCCGTTTTTTTATTTGTTACTCATAAACGACAACCATACAGTACACCGTATAAATTTCCACTCCAAACTCTACTACAAATTAATGGAGTAATACTTGTAGAGATTTTCTAATAGAAGAGCGAAAAATAATTACTTTAGTAGTAGATAAACAGTTGTTTGTACGCAACATCAATTGGGGAAAAAACTAATATTTTCGATGTCATATATATTTTCGCAGGACGAAGTGTCTTGGTCGCGTTGCGTGAAGTTCTAATCTCTAAGATGAGTATCTTCACCGATCGTCTAAATAATCCTGTTGAAGTAGTAGAAAGAGTGAGGGTAAACAATATAAGAATAATTAAATTTCTATCAGACAATTTAGAAAAATTCAAGTATATGTTATTTTTTAAAATTTATTTATTTTGAAAAGAGGTACGCACACAACACTTCTTTTCATATTTTTTTTTATTTTTTGCAACACGATAACGAGTTTTGTGTGTGTGTGTGTGTGTGTCTGTGTTAAAGACAAAAAAAGCAACTAATGCTTATTTTTAAATGCCCTCACAATAAAACAAAATTCATTAGGTCTGGTATATAATAAATGAGGATAAATTTAAAATAAAAATAATATAAAATAAACACAATATACAAACATATACAAATGGATGGATGATGGCATAATAACTTATCGAAAATACATGAACTTCCTCATCATATACAATAAAAGTTGATACCAAAGGTTTAAGATAACTGTTAATTTGCATAATACATGTGAATACATAGCAGTTTTATTTTATTAATGGCCGTTAAGGTATTCAAAAAAAAAAAAAATAAAAAAAAAATAGAAAGAAGTTTGTACTTGCTTTTGTATTCCTATTCTAGAAATAAAGGAAATTCTAGTCATGTAATCGGTTATATGTGTGTTAAGAAATTTAGAGATTTATATATATAAACAAAAAATTTAGTCTTCTGAGAATGTAAACTTGGAAAAAAATTATATGTTTAATAATGTCATGTAATGCCCGTCGTTTGTATATGTATTAGCCAAAAATCACATTTCTATTGGGATTTTCAAAAATAATTATTATTAATTATTAAATCGTTCCGGCGTAAAGCAAGTTTGTAAAGGAATTCTTATATTAAATAGAAAAAATAATGATGTGATTTCGGATATTTTTTATTTACAAAATCGTTCGTCTAAATCTAAAGAGTGGCTTTGCTAAGATTTTATATATATGCAAACACTCGATCCCCCCCATCGATTGATCGTGTTAATACAAAAACATCAATTTTGATGAAAATCTTGCTCACAAATTTCCTTCAGCTAAGAAAACTAATACTAATTGCAGTTTACGAGCAATGGTTTTTGCTAATCATCGACTAAAGTGCAATTTGTTTCTACGTTTTGGTTATGTCACTCTAGGTTACAGAAAAAAAAAAAAAAGAAGAGAAACCAACCTAAACTTCCTAGAGCTTCCTACGATCTTGATCTTGAGCTAAGCTACAGTGTTCCGCTAACTTACTCATGATACTTTCAAAACTAAGAAAAACAAAAAGTCTCCCTTATACGTATATTGAAACTTCGGTGCAGATATTCAGAAATTCCTATAAGGTTGAACACAACCTTATCATCTAATTTGCCCCGTTTAACACTATTCTTTCCATTTCAAGAATAATTTCAATGGAATTTTATTTAACACCCTCCATAGTTGTAGCCTTGTATACTCTTCTTGTATGTATACTCATTCCTCTTTCAGCTTTTTATTATAATTTAAGATTTTCTCTCCACATTTGCCTGCAACTCCCTATCTAGTACTTTACAGTTTTCAAAAGCATGCAGAGAGTCGCGAGCGTTTTACCGATACCTTCGAATGAGATCGTTAAGGTACACACACACACACCTGCTGAGTGGGTGGATATAAAAGGCAATAATCAATTACAAAAAAAAAAAAAATAAAAAAATAAAAAAAAAAAAAAAAAAAACTAAATCAGTGCTTCTCTGCTATAGTTGTTTAAAATTAAGTAGAAATACAAAAGTAAGTACAAAGTTTACTGAATATATGCACCTCCTCAACGTAAACAATGCAATTTTCACAACGGAATTTGTTTTTTTTTGTTTTTTCGCATTATTTTTATAACTAAATGCTCATATTAGGAATAAATGATGGATATAATGTAACTGGCTACTGTTTCATAAACTGAATGCAAATAGAGGGAATTGGAAAACAAAAATAGTCCATTAACTAAGTGCTGTTAGTATTGTGATGTTGCAATATGTACATAACATTAGGATTAAATATTTTAATGTGTTTTATTTCTATTCACAAAACTAATAAGCAGTTAAGCACTTGTAGTAAAAATGATTAATGTTTCTATTCTTCCATAGCCTGCCTGCCTGTCTGTCTGTGCGAAGGGTTTATAACCAACCCCCCTTTCTGCCAAATATTAAAGAGCTTACTGTGCCAACGAACGATTGAGTAAGAGTTTGTTCATTATCTCTTTCATTGCTGGTTGATGATGATTTATCTGCGGCATTTTCATTAACAACTCGTTGAGTACTCGATTGCTGTTGATTTCTGTTGGTTCTTGGTGAGACCCTTCCCAAATCGGTTCGCACGCGACCTTCAGTTGTGCCTAAGTCAGGTCTTTGTCCATTTTTAAGATTTCGCCGGGATTTTTGTCGGTGTACGGGCTTGCTACGTGCATTAATAGTTGCTTCATCGTGATAATTAGTTGGGGTAGGATTGCTTTGTGCGTCAGCACTAATGGCAACTTTATTTATATTGCTTACTTTAGGTTCATTATTATGCTCGGATTTCTCTTTGACTTTTTTATTGACGGGCAATGCTGTTTGTGGACTCAATCCTTTTTGAAGCACATCTTTGATCTGATTACGATCAAAATGCAAATTCTTAACGATGTTACTATTGGGATTGGGATTAATATTTTTTAAACTAGTAAGTTGTGCCATTGGACTAATGCTTCTATTGGCAATTCCACTAGTTAGTTGAGACATGGCGTTCGGCTGAGTTGTAATTATATTTTCCAAACCAATGCTCTCAACTTTTTCAAGTAAACGAAGAGACCGCAAGGCACGACGTTCAAGACGAGTAAGCAGAATTTTTTGCTGCTTTTGCTGTTGGGTGCGACTGCGCTCAACGTCACCACCAATCAATTTGCGCCGAAAAACGTCCGCACCAGAGGACAATAAATTGAAAAGTGGTTCCGGAGACCTAGAGCGCGTGGGCGAATCCTCTAAAAATTAGATTATTAATTAATAATAATAATAATAATGTAAGATCTTCTTGCGAATTTAAATAAAAATTATTCACCAGGGCTATTGTAAGGAGTCACTGTTGGAGAAAAATTTGGTCCGGCAGGCGTATTAAGTGCGCTTGGAGTGACGGCTTTAATACCTCTTTCGTTCAACATGGATGCTAAACCCAAATTGACAGAAAAAGTGCAACACGAATTTTTGCGCGATAGACCAGCGCGGGGAGTCGGTGGACAACTGAAAAGAAATGTAAAAATCGAAAATACAGTGATGTTAGATTGTAACAGTAACGTTTTAGCTTACCTTGGCTGCCGAGATGTTGATGTAGACGCCATGCGTGAGGACATTTGTGACTGTGAGAGAAATGATGCGTCATTGATGAAACCATCATCAGGATGCATAACTGTACTTGTGGTATATGTGTAAGTACAATATGAAATTTCGAATTGTTTTCCTGGAAGTTCATCAGGAACATCTTCTTCAATATCATTTAATGTGTACAACTGTAATCCAAGTTCTTCAAGTCCACGACCACCACGTATTGTAACTCCTGGACGCTCTTCCAATAAACCACTCAGGGTCGGTGTCGCCAGGCGAGACCAATGATGCAATGTTTGAGATCCTTCCATTGGCTTTACAATTTGCAATTTCTCAGGAAGACGCCATTGGTGTAATGTAGACGACATGTTCGTTGACGATACACCCGAAGAACCAGTAGACATTATACTATCTGGCGTACGTATTCCTAAGGGAAGTCCAGCCATAGGTAGATTATCGTCGTAAGAATAGGTTCCTGCAGGAGCATATGAGAGCATTGCTCGTCTCGCAAGCACTTCGGCAGGGGTGAGCCTCTTCAATGCTGCTTCTAATTCCTTAGCACCAGGTACGCCGGGAACTCCTGACGGTTGGGAAAAGCAATCTTCTGATTGTGAAGCTAAGCTCTCGCACGATGCTGATCTGAGCGCAAACGCATTCTCCGAATTAAAATTATTTTCATCTAACTGTTTATCACCATAAATCATCGTTGACATGCGAGGCCCAGACACGCTACTCATTGACATCGAACCAATGTTTGATACGGTTCCACTTTTAGCGCACTTAATAGTATCAAAAACGCGTTTATAAGATGGGAAAGGAACGGAAGAGTACGCACAAGTGTTGGCAGAACTTATCACAGGATTATTAAGAGCGGGCAACCCAATCTCATTCAGAAGCTTTGGCATGATCTGGCCAGAGGAATTATTAAAACGAAGGTTATCATTCGAAATGCCCGAATCAAGACTGTTTTCCGAATAAAGTGAGGACTCCATGAGTTCGGATTGCAAAGAATCAGATTGTAAATGAACCATCGAAGGCATAAACGTGTTTCGAGCTTGTGGCATAGACTTCTTTCGATATTTTCGCAATTGCTCTTGAGTCTCTTGCAGTAGAGCCAGAACTTCTTGGTATCGTTGCTTGAATTCGACAAGCTCCAACGCCAATGAATTTTGGTTTTCCTTTGTGATACTCAGTAACGTAACGTTCTCATCGTTGTCGTGTGTTAGTTGATGTAATCTCATCTCAGCTTCTGCGAGACGTGCCGTTAAGCTAACGATCTGTTCATGTTGTAGTCGATTTTCTTCGCGCTGTCGCTCTAAATCAAGACTCAGATTTTCAAATTGTTTATTCACATCTCCTAATTGCGTCGTAATGTCGTCCATTAGTTGACGTTCGTGAGCTTCTACGGCATCGGTCTGGTGTACTAATTCCGAAGCTTCCATTTTAAGTGACTTGTTTTCATCTTCAAGAGAGTTTATTTTTTTTTGTAATAGTTCTACGGTTATAGATTTTGCATATGTCGGAGTTTCTAAAAAGTTACAAAAGACAATTTTTAACACAAATGCCTTATCTAATTAAATCATATCTTGTCTTCTCTGGGCAATCACAAAACTTACTATAAGTAAAAAAATCTTTGTTAGGTTAAGGACTGTGTCCAATAAATTAGTTCTGAGGCGAAGAATACATTTTTGATCTCACTAAGCACATTGTAGGTGAAAAGCTTAGAAGCTTTTTGAAACCGCTCAACCGCCACTTGAAAAGCCGTTGATCAAGGAAGTTTGTTTATGCAATCTTAAATTACTTTGGGCAATGAGCTAGAAAGGTATTTTTGGAAGTGGGCATGTCGCGAATTGTAACATTTTTATTGCTACTTATCGACAATTGGGTTTCAGAGAGGCATTGCAACAAATTTTGAAGAGAAAATTTTCGAAAAAATCTCATGTCTGGTTTTTTCCGAAAATGACTCGAGTCGCGAAAGTGATTCCATGCTTACTAGATTTCGGGTCATATTTTCAAAGCATTTTTGATTTGGGTTTCTAATGTCAATTTGGAAATTCTAGCTGTACTACTGTATAGGCAAGCACAGATTTTTTTTTGATGAGGTCAGCTACGGTTCGATTTTTTTATTAAAGAATGTTATATGAAAACAAGTAAACACACTATAGAGGACAATGTTCTATGTGTTAAACAGTCTACGCAATCCTGTTATACTGATCCATAAAAAGACTTTCCAAGTAGAAAGTAATTGAAATGTGATTCGATCTGAACTATTTTCAAAAGGTTCTTGGACCAACACAGATCACAATGCTTAAAAAATAAACGGCCTGCAATATATGAATATATGGCAAAGTGACAGACAAATTTAAATGGTTTCAGAAAGTGATTCGGAATCGATTGGCATAACAAAAGATGGATATATTTCAAATCCTTCCGAGGTTTGCATACATCTGCACAAAATTAATACAATCTTGTATCTCAAGTTGTACAAGTAATAAAAATGTTTTATACTTTCAAGATCTATCGTAAAAGTCCGAGTATTGATAATTATTTTCATTTTTCTACTCAAATTTAGAGAAATGAAGAACAGTTTATGTTAAGTCTATTACCTAAATTCTCTCCCTCTCTCTCTCTCTCTCTCAATTTCAAACAGGGCGTCGTTATGGTCTTAGTTAGATTGGCTATTTAATTGACGATATCTTACATTACATTAATGTTAATCGATGTTTATGGTAACGTTTGTCACCTTCTTTGCAATTTTTTGATATCCCGTGTAAAACGTAATAGACTTACCGCTATCACTGTCGCTGGTAAGTACAGCAATAAGTTCATTTTTTTTACGCAATTCGTGTAAAAGTTGTGCATGGTCTTCATTAACTGTTTTTAGATCGGATTCTAACTCAAGAATTTTATTCTCGAGTACATTGTTTTGCGTTAATAATTCTTTGCCAATTTGAACCGTCAATTCCAAATCCTTTTCCTTCTCTTCCAAAAGGCGGGTAACGGCTTCAATATCATCATACGCTCGTGTCATTTGACTTATGCGATTACCGCATAAAACTGAAATAGAGATAAGATAATAATAGCTTCAATAAGAATTCTTCAAAAGCGGTAGAGAATGCACAAGAAGTACACAAGACAAACAGACATTGCTCTGTTTACATTGGGCTCTGCGATCGCCAAGGCCTTTTAAATGTTGCAGATTTTTAAAAAGAAGATCAACGAAAATTTATACATATTGGCAGTACTCGCTTAATATTAGTGTTTTATATAAGTGATCTAGAGATTCGGAGAGGGGCTTTCCGCCATGGCATTTATTTCATTTTTTTTTTTCTAAAGTTTCAAGCATTCAAACCAGTCAATGTGCCTAATTTAATTCTGGAGCAGAAATGTCGCACCACCTTCTTATCACTACCCCCATGCGGCAATGGCAAATTTGGCGGAAGCTCGAATTCACGAGTAATATAAATCTTCCAATAGGGGAATAGTTACTTGAGCATCCTATAGCAGAGGTCATAATGTCGGCACGCTAAACGGTGCAATCTGGTGCTAGAGTTAACCCGAAAATGGATATGTTAAATGGAAGCATTATATACCTGTGGGAATCTTGAGTTTCACAGAATTCACTTTTTGTTCTATCAGAGACATGCCGTAAGCATAGAACAATGATAAGCAAAAAGACAATGAATAAAAAGAATATTTGGTGCTGTAGGTGGAAACATCACAGATCAACTAAATATAGTCCAATCAGTTAGTTTTTGATATAGTAATGGAACGACAAGTAGAAAGATATTGTGAGGACCCAAAGTCGTCTCTCGTTTTGCCTCACGGGTTCCCCGTCTTTGGCTGGGGAGAGAGGAGTGCTAGAGAGTAAGGTAGCATAAGAGTAGGACAGGCGTAGTATAAGAATAGAATAGGATAGATAAAGCGTAGGCTAAGAATAGGTTAAGTTAGTTAGGGAGTTGAGTTTGAGTCGCCGACTAATCAAGTTCAGTTTTGGTCCGTAGATTTGTAGAGACGCGTTTAAAAGGAAAGTGTAACAAGAGAAATAGAAAATAAAGGTCCTGGGAAAATACAAATCTCTTGTGTGTTTCCATTACCCTGGGCCGCTGAGCTGCCCCAGTCTTTAGGAAAGCGACGAAAACGTCCTCAAAATATATATTTGATTTTACAAGATCAACTCATCATGTTACAAAACGGAGAGATAAGCTTACCTAATGGAAATAAATTGAGTTAAGAGCAGATCTTAAGGAAAAGTGCTATATATAAAGGAAAATCAGCTTTTCACAGAATAAATAGAAAGAGAAACAATATGTAAAAAAGTTCTTTTCTAGACCTAAGATAAAAGAAAAGCATTTTGCTTATATTGAATGTGAGGAGTGAAAGACGCAAAGTTTTACAATTTTGCACAATTGCAGCAATAAACTGCCAGCAGAATACATCAGAATTGCTTTCCCCCAAGTCGATTAGTTAATTTGTTAACTGTGTGGAATTCGTTGGAAAATACGTGTTTGAATTGCGCAAACGAGTATAAGCGTCATGCACACGATATATGTGTGATATAATATTAGGTTGTAATGAAACGACTTGACAGAATTATTTCCTAAAATAAATTATTACACACAAATACAAATACCGACGGGGAATACCGACAGGGACAGATGAACGCATCATGACGTATACACTCGTTGTAACAAAAAATGTTGTACTTTTCTCATGATGGATATGTTCGTCGTATACAACTCACTGATTAAAGATTCCATTTTAGCTTTTATTTTTTATATGCTTCCACCACCATTTACGGTTTAGGATTAATTAGGCTCATGCGCATGTATGTGCAATATAGCCAAGAACGGCTTTTGCTTTACCAATTAATTCAGAATCATTTTCAAAATTGATTTAAGTCCGTCTGTCTATCTTATGTCCTGTATACTTTTACGTTCCAACTTTCCCGATATTATGATAAAGTTGAAGGCATTGACATATTTTCGCCGAAGAATCAATCCTATTAGAAATATTTTGGATCAGACTTTTCTACAAACAACCTTCGCCTGCAAGAGATCGTTCTGTGAACACTTTTGGAAAATAGAATGAATACCGTCTCATATTGAAATTCTTACAAAAGAAAAGAAAAAATTATTAAAAATTGCAGGGTATATATGTTCTAACGGTCGACCTAGCTCGACTTTTCTGCCATATGTTTATTAGAATACCGGCAAAGTTATGATCGACCTGATTTATAACGCGTTAAAGATGGGAAACTCATGTCAACGAAATATGAGCGAAATTGTGGAAATCCATTATCCAGGCATTCATATTCTTTTCTAAATAAGGTGATAATCTGCGAACAAACGATTTGGTATTTTAGTACGAATACGATCAAGTATCACGTCGTATGCGTTTAATTGATTCACCTATATATACATGTCTATTATAGATCTGCTCAAAGGTGTTATCTGTTTGTTTTGCTCAATTTATTGGGTATTAAAAAAAAGGTTTAAAAAAAAAAAAAAAATAGAAATAAAAATAATAAAAAATAAATGAAAACGATATAAAAAAATATCTTTTTTTTTTAGGTAAATATTTGCCTTCTGTGTAATCGATTTGTTTAAACTGTTTAAGGCGAGCCAAGCTATTGATACTCTCTTTACACAAAGTTATATTAATCTATTGCAATGTTTGTCCGGAATAGACTGCAGAGTGCTTTGACGCTCTTGAACTTGAATTTTCTTCTTTCTATACTCGAGTTAATGTTCAAATTATAAATATTTAATAATAAATAATTTACTATTATTTCAAGTAAATAAAGACCATAAAATAATCGGCACAAAATAGTTCGCGAAAAATCGTTGTGCAATGTAAGAGAAGCAATAAATATGCGTAAAGAAATTCGTTTTGAACCGAATGTTCATCGCTCGCTTCTCTCTTCTGTTGTCTAAATCTATTATATTAATTTTATTGAGTTCCGCGTACATTCGTTTATAGGGGTATGTGTGTATGTAGGGCATACGTATTGTATCTATTTTTGTACAATTGTGAATTAACCATATTTCAAATAATTTTTGTCATTAATCGGTCGACAAAAAAAAAACCCGCAAAATAATTGTATTTTGTTTTTTTTTGCGAAAACCATATCATCATAAAATCATTGTTTTATAGTCATTTTGCATTAGAAAAACAGGCAAGTAATTTTTACGATCGAACCAATTTCTAAAGAGTATAAATTGAAAGTAACCATCTGTCATGGAAGAAATTTTAATTAGTCTTTTTACGAAAATATTGTCCATCAACGGGAGACGTAAACTACTTTTTAACCGAAAAGTTTTCAAATTTTATTTAACGCTTCAAAGCAAATAAAGAGTTTTGGGGTTATTTTCAATAAAGTGAATAAATTTGGCAAACAATTGGTTTATAGCGTCATTGAATAATCTCCTTATCCTCCTAGCAATCCAATCCAATCCAATTATATTAGAAGATTTTTATTAAGATACCTTCGAAAGCTAAAACTGAGACTTAAGTAAAACTACAATGTCGAGCATGTGTTTAGAATTTAATTTTTTTGGACTTTATCGTGTCATGTACTGTGGAACAACAAACTAATTCCCGGTTTAACTTTCGTGTCTGCGTTTACTTTGCTCAAAAGGTGACGGGACATTCGCTGTCGATGAAAGGACACGTTTGCATATATATCATATATATATATATATATATATCGCCGAAATTTGTTTAAAGTTCTTCAGAATTACTTTTAAGTAGCACTTGTTCCAGATTCCTTAGAAGCTTTCATCCCTATTCCCTTTTTGGCTCATGGCGTTCTATTTACTTACTTTGAATTTTTTAAAAATGTGAAGATATTTCGGGGCTATTATTATTATTATTATTATTATTTTAATTTTAGACTAATGAATTGAATTCTTAGACTAAAAAAAGAGACATTGAGCACTAGCAACACAGGCTATCGGCTCTAATTTAAATAAATGGATATTAGATAATAAGCTTAGTAGTATTAATAAATATTTCGGGGCTAGAAAGTTGTGCTTAGCACGCAATTTTTTTTTATTCGAGTTCGCTTATCCCATTTCTATTTTTACTATCAAAAACCGAATCAACAATAGTCGAATTCTTTCGCAGAGCAAATCGGATCGATTATATGACTGACTGAACGGCTCCAACTTGGTCACCATGTTTCTAAAAATGTAAATTCTTTGGGATTCAGAGAGTTCGTCGGGCATTTTATTGCCTCTCTTTTCAAACAAAAAAAAAAACGAACAGAAAAGGTTTGTTTTTGATTGCGTCAACTAAATTGAAAGCTTAACCAGTTAACTGGATCGACTTCTTTAGCGATGACGAGTAGACTCGTCAAATATGGTGTGTGTGTGTAATAGGAAATTAGGTTCTAATGAAAATATGGCAAACACATATACATGATGATAAACGGGTATGAGGAAACGCGATAAGGACGGATGGACGGATAATGACATATATTCACATCGTTAACTGATTGAAAGTGTAGAAATATTAGTTTCTTCGGGATGAGAAATTGGGCGAATCACGGCTTTTGCTTTTGAGCAGCTTTTAAGCAGCGCGCAGTGAGAAAGAAAGCAAGCTGGAGGATGGAGGATGGATTGGAAAGCTAAGAAGAATTTCAATTTGAAAGTAAGCATTTTCGTATTTTAAACAATTTTAACGGTAAACATACGATCAGGGAGGAATAGAATGCGTAATTTGCCTCTTTACTTAAACCACGAGGTGTCTGGGAAGCGCGTTTCCTCAATGCTTTATAATTATTTATTTATGATAATAAAAATTGTATTTACTTGTTCAATATATAGAAATAGTTACACAGCAGCAAATAGATATACCTTCTGATCTGAGTAAATTCCGTACAATTTTTAACGACATTACACCGTCTGGTTTTCGTGCGGCATAATATATGATCTTTCCGTTTAAATTTTCATGTGATTTCAATTGCGAAGATAATAAAGTATTTGAGACAGCATTCAATGCATCTTCAGTTTGGCATCTTGAGACTAAATTTAGAAAATATGTTAATAATGGTAACGCCGCTTCCATAGATTGCCTTTGTTTTACATCTTTTATGAGAGTGTTTATACCTTCGGTGATTTCAAATTCCGATAATGTACATGACATTCTTGCATCTTCATCTTCTTCTTCTTGTTCAGTTAATGAATATTTTTCTAATAAACTTTGATTGACATTAATATTGCTTAGCATCTTAAAAGATTTTTCTTTGTTATATTCCACCTGAGATTGAAGTAATGCGAAAGTGTTATCAAAACCTTTACTTGATGTTGACGGTTTCGTTGTATAAAATAAGGAATCCTCTTTGGCACATTTTTTTTTTTCTTTTTTGGCTTCACTAGTAGATTTGTCACTATCATCCTCTTTGGCAATTCCGATTATGGAAGAATTTGGTAAACATTTTTCACATATTTCGTCATCATGGCCTTTTTCTAATTGATTACTATTTGCAGCTAATTCATTATCCCTTAGAGAAATGTCGCGAGACTTTCGCCTTTTGGAGCATAAATCTCCATCACCGTATTTCAATTCAAAACACTTAAGTTGGTTATCTTCTAACGTTATACTCTCGCTGTTGGCCATATTCGCACAAATGAAATCGTTGTTAAGGTTTTCTCATTTTAAAAGCGTAATCTTTCTCTCTTTCTCTTCGTTACAGTTATATATATAGTTGTTTTCAAAAAAATATTGCGATTCGTTAATTAATGGAGGTAATGTGACACCGTTACAATTTTTAACATAATTTTTGTGAATTTGGAAAAGAACAACAACAACAACAACAAAAAAAAACTTTAATATCGCTTCGCGAATCACTCGTTCAAATATTAAAACCGGTTGTCGAAGAACTGTTCATCAGGCGCAGATATTCTAAATAATTATTCAAATAGACGATTGGTACATTTCAGCCTTTGTTTTCACAAAGCAAAGAAAAAGGAAATAAACAAAAAAAAAAAAACAAAAATAAAAAAGAATGCATATAAACAAATTGTAAAAGAGCAAACCAAAAAAGGAAAAAAGAACGGAAACTAAGAAAGAAACGTCCAGCGATTTAAAAGCGTCCAGAAGTACACCCTACCGTAAATTTTCTATAGATCAGGACAAAAGATTTTCAACTCCTTACTTAAGAAGTTAAATCTTTACTCTAATTTTAAAAACCTAGCATATATAATAAAAGGGCTCCAGTTTTCATGCAATGGGTCTTTGAATTAATTTTCATCGTTTTTATATCGTTTACCATCGCTTGTGGTACAAAATATATTATATTTAAGTAGTAATATGCAGGAGGGTTTAAGACAGATCAGAGATTATATCAATTTTTGGCGTCTCCGTCCTTCCGTCCATGTATATTTGTGTTCATATCTACAAGTCGCAATTTGTGCTCGATGCATTGATGTAGTCATTATATGAAAGAAGTTTGCAATATTGAAAATCTCTTTATAAAAATCACAGAATGTGAGTACTTCGTCGTATTGAATTTATATTAAACAAGTGACAAAAGTATATTCAATCGTGACCGAATCTTTAAAACCCATCACACTGTTATCCAAAAACTAAGACAAAAAAATAAAATCACTATTCTCTATAATACAGAGTAGTGGGGGGCGCGACTGATTTTTTCTATTTTCAAAATAAAAGCTTTTGCAATATAGGCGTACAGGCGTTGAGGAAAGGTTTAGGCCACTTTTAAATTTTTTTTTGCAAACTGTAAGCGACATCTTCATATTTGTCACAGATACTACACACAGTTGGGCAGACGAACAGAGAGGCATACTTAGATGCGTTTCAAATTTGAAACTGGCCAAAAGTTTATATTCTTTATGGGGTTTTGAAGCTTGTATGTGCGCGTTATAATCGCATTGAAAAAGAAAATTAAATTTTGATGCGATATAATATTGGGTATGCGTCGTCAAATTTTTCTATGTTTGTTCAGGCGCTACACAGCATCGATCATAGAAATTCAAATTCAAATTTTTGTACATTTACCTGCTAAAGTTTATGAATAATAAGCAAAAAATTAATATTTTCTTGCTTTTGAAAAACAGAGGTGTTCTCAGCTTATGTTGTGCTCTGGACGTGCCCTTCGACCAATTTGGCCTATTTTCAATACCAATCTGCGTGCACGAAATTCCAATGTTTCTGCCAAATTTGAAGTTGATAGCTTCATTTTCTGGCCACGAGAATGCTTACAACGGACATTTCACAGACGGACAGATACGTAGACGAACATGCGTAAGTCGATTTAAAATTTGATATTGATCAAGAATATACATGCTTTGTGTGGTTACTGATGGTTCCTTCAGGACGTTACAGGCCTTTTGATAAAATGAATATACCTCCCTTCCTTCAGTGATGGATAAAAAAATTAGATTAGATGGGTCAAGTAGTAGATCTATATTTGGGGTCTCTTCTAACATAAAAGCTGCCCTGAAAACTGCATCCTTACATGGAAAGAAGGTAACTTTTGGTATGTTATCGCGAAAATAATTTAAGAACTGTATTAGGCGATAATTGGTTTTTTATTTTACTCTTTGGTTGTCAACTTTTTGACATCTTTCACTTCTCATCATTTCCAGCATTTGAGATGCCAAAAATTGCCGATCGGGGCCGTAATAAATAATTATTAAACGACTTTTTAAAAAATTTTATTGCGTTAACTGTGAATGTTAAAGCTCACTGCCATTACGTTAAATTTTATTTTTGCTGATGTCTTATTGTTCTTAATACCAAGATAATCTTTTGATCCTCTTAAATCATCAATGCTTGCTCGGATGTAAGAAGTTTTGCTTAAGGTTGTTTTTGCACTCCGGCAGTCACTTTTCTCTTAAGCGCTGTGTTTGAACAACCTGGTTTCGTTACGTCAAAGGGATGAGAAATCAACTGAAATGCAATAATGCGATGCGCTTAACAACTACAAGACTAAAGTCGTAGGATGCTTGAAAAGTAAATCAGGCGATTAAGTTTTTGTTATGTTTATACAGTTGTGCATGCAGACATCCAGGTAGCATATACGAAAGGTAGCCATCTATAGGTATTATTGTAGTAGTGCACATAAGTTACGTGTTCTACTATAGACGAGAGGTGTTGCTGTCCATATATTGAAATATATTCCTTGTTAATGTCAAACGAAAGAAATTAATTCAAGTATCCAATGTATAAGAGCCCTTAAAATCATCTGCTATAGTAAGAATTATGTTTAGCTGCATAAAATTTATGCAAAATATTGACAAACAACAAGAAGACTGTTGCTATCTAACACCTTCAACAAAAGCAGACAAAATGGAAACACAATCCTAAGAAAGTTCGCTGCACCTTATACCAATAAATGAATCTATAAGAAATGTACGTAATTCACGACTAAAACAACAAACAATTCGAATAAATATTTAAGTGACAAAAGTTTTTCAAATTTATTTTACAATAAATATATACCGCAAACTAAAGTTAAAAAGAATTGTTTCAGGAATGCACATGCGCAATTTAAAAACTAGAAAAAGTCTCTATATATTAATATAATTTACATCCCAGGGTAGGTCACCCTTAATACAAACTGTTTATCTTAAGCTGAAAGCTTATTACCCTTCATCAACAGTTTTGAAAATCGCGTACCTCAATTATGGTTTCTAATTTGAAGTTATTTGAAAGTCTTACATATTATAATAAGTGAGAGTCCTTTTACTTGGAAGCATAAAAGTTTAGCTTTGGCACAGATTCGGAATTAAATCAAACGAATTGTCTTATGCAGTCTTCACATATTGCGAACGAAAATTTAATTTCCAAATATGGTTCGGCCCTAGAATGTAATCAATGTAGCAAAATATTTTGAAATACGCAATGAATATTAAATAAAGTAAAAAAAAAAAAGTAATATACAGTAATACAAGTCGCAAAAAGCATCTTGGATATTCACCGTCTGAACTGTATTTCGAAGCCGTGTGAAAAGGTACCCAGATGGGGCTGATATCAAACAAAATCTAGATTAATGAAATGTTTACTCCAGTGTACTCACTGTTAATTAAGTTGTTCTGAGTGTTTGCCGAACTTCTTGATTATTAAGTAAATTTGAATTAAATAAAAGACTGCACTTATTTTCATTCATTAGCCTCCTTTATAAGGTACCACTTAGAGATTTTTGAAAAATTTCCTCATTCCGTTATAACGCCTTGGAATGTATGAATTATAAAGTATACGATTCGTTTTCTATTATGGAGCAGTCTTCGATTAATTCAAAAAACAGACAGAGTAACATTAGTAAATCTATTTAGGAACTTACGCTGATCAAGCAAATACATATACCCGTCAGTTTGTCTTCGATGTTAGTTTTCATGCGTTGCAAACAAAAGGATGAATCTAATATGTTTTCTTCCTGTTGCTTGTGCTCAAAATTGGTTTTTGCGTATTCACAAATCCTTCAATATTTATTTTACACATATTATATAAATCACAATACTGGAAAATAGCATTTTATCACATATGTACACATTGAAATTTTCACGTTTTCTATTGCATATTGTGTAATAATACATAATTTAATATGTCTTTTGCGTACTTCAAAATGTTTTCTACCCTAATCCAAAGACGGTATTTGTTCACTTACTTAAAGTAAAATTTCACAGTTCCTTTGCCAATCCCACCCGATTTAACATGAGACGAGCCTATTCAAAGCTATTCAATGCAGATAGTTGGCTCTCAACCACTAAAAAATTAGAAAACGAAAAAAAAATCGATTAAGCGTCCATATTGTCATGGGCTTCGACTTACGGATAAGGCCAAGGAAAAACGATCAAACAAAATCTGCACTTGCGATTTATCCTCAGAAGGTATTAATAAACAGGAAAAAAATATTTCACGTATAAAAATTATATTAGTCAATCTGTGCCTTAAGCCAACTTTCACACAAAAAAAAAAAACGAGTTTAACACTACTTTATCCTATTATTAGTTTTTTTCCTTTCGAGATGATTGATTAGTAAGAATAAATTTGTAAACCCTTAGTAATTGTAAAAATTATTCACTGATTTATTAAAAATAAATTTTTCTTATTTTCACTTTTATTTTACTAGAGGATTTCCATTCTACACTGAATCATTTCGTGAAAACTGTCACCACCGGCTAGATATGAAAGTCTATCGATATCACTCTGTCAATGTTATCGATTATGCTAACATAATATGAAATCCACATAAGCTATTTTTACTTTCTAAGGAGCGACGTTAATGATATTTTCAAAACATTTTCATAGAATTAAAATTTTTTGCTTCCAATATTGTTGAATTAATGAGAAGGTCTTTTATAATTCGTAGGTGTTAATTGGTAATAGCATTCAAGTAAAAGTGAGAAGGACTTCTCGCTCAATATAAAATTTTAGTTTGGAATAGGAAATATTTGGGATTATGTTAAAAGAAATCCATCTAACTTGCATGTAAGCAAACGTATTCCGTCTTTGCTAATAGTATTCCAATAATTTTAGGGTGATCTGACACTTGCGCACCAAAGCAGCGACCATGTCGCTAATATATATATTTTCATGTAGGTTCCCAATGTTTTTTATATGTATATCTCCAAAATATTATTTTAAAGACGTGTGGATAAGGTGTCTAGTTCCCTCCGGATTCTAGCGATAACCCGTTAAGAATATATTTGGCATCTAAGACTTTGAAAATGAAAATTAGTTTAACTTACGAAAGTAGTTGAGAGTTTCCCGTGTCTGCTCTTTGGTGAGGCCTAAGCCTTCCAGTGGAACTGCGAGCGCCGGAGCTGGTATATACCAGTCCTG